CTCTCCCTCACCCTCACCACCCACTCCCACTCTCCCTCACCACCCTCACCACCCTCACCCTCACCGCCCTCACCGCTCTCACCCACTCTCCCTCACCACCCACACCCACTCTCCCTCACCCTCACCACACTCACCACCCTCACCACCCTCACCACCCACCCCACTCTCCACCCACACTCACTCTCCCTCACACTCACCACACTCATCACCCACACCCACTCTCCCTCACCCTCACCACCCACACTCCCTCACCACACTCACCCACTCTCCCTCACCACCCACTCTCCCTCACCACCCACACCCACTCTCCCTCACCCTCACCACCCACACCCACTCTCCCTCACCACCCACACCCACTCTCCCTCACCACCCACACCCACTCTCCCTCACACTCACCACACTCATCACCCACACCCACTCTCCCTCACCCTCACCACCCACACCCACTCTCCCTCACACTCACCACACTCACCACCCACACCCACTCTCCCTCACCCTCACCACCCACACCCACTCTCCCTCACACTCACCACACTCATCACCCACACCCACTCTCCCTCACACTCACCACACTCATCACCCACACCCACTCTCCCTCACACTCACCACACTCATCACCCACACCCACTCTCCCTCACACTCACCACACTCATCACCCACACCCACTCTCCCTCACCCTCACCACCCACACCCACTCTCCCTCACACTCACCACACTCACCACCCACACCCACTCTCCCTCACCCACACCACCCACACCCACTCTCCCTCACACTCACCACACTCATCACCCACACCCACTCTCCCTCACCCTCACCACCCACACCCACTCTCCCTCACACTCACCACACTCATCACCCACACCCACTCTCCCTCACCCTCACCACACTCATCACCCACACCCACTCTCCCTCACACTCACCACACTCATCACCCACACCCACTCTCCCTCACACTCACCACACTCATCACCCACACCCACTCTCCCTCACCCTCACCACCCACACCCACTCTCCCTCACACTCACCACACTCACCACCCACACCCACTCTCCCTCACCCTCACCACACTCATCACCCACACCCACTCTCCCTCACACTCACCACACTCATCACCCACACCCACTCTCCCTCACCCTCACCACCCACACCCACTCTCCCTCACACTCACCACACTCACCACCCACACCCACTCTCCCTCACCCTCACCACCCACACCCACCCTCCCTCACCCTCACCACCCACACCCACTCTCCCTCACCCTCACCACACTCATCACCCACACCCACTCTCCCTCACACTCACCACCCTCACCACCCACACCCACTCTCCCTCACCCTCACCACCCACACCCACTCTCCCTCACACTCACCACACTCACCACCCACACCCACTCTCCCTCACCCTCACCACCCACACCCACTCTCCCGCACCCTCACCACACTCATCACCCACACCCACTCTCCCTCACCCTCACCACACTCATCACCCACACCCACTCTCCCTCACACTCACCACCCACACCCACTCTCCCTCACACTCACCACACTCACCACCCACACCCACTCTCCCTCACCCTCACCACCCACACCCACTCTCCCTCACACTCACCACACTCACCACCCACACCCACTCTCCCTCACCCTCACCACCCACACCCACTCTCCCTCACACTCACCACACTCACCACCCACACCCACTCTCCCTCACCCTCACCACCCACACCCACTCTCCCTCACCCTCACCACACTCATCACCCACACCCACTCTCCCTCACACTCACCACACTCATCACCCACACCCACTCTCCCTCACCCTCACCACACTCACCCACTCTCCCTCACACTCACCACACTCATCACCCACACCCACTCTCCCTCACACTCACCACCCTCACCACTCTCGCCGCGCGCTCCTCACCCGAGTTGCTGGGGTCCTGAGAACGGCCGCGGTCACGTGACTCATAAGGCGCCCGAGCGCGTGATCACGGTCACGTGACGCCCGGCCGCGTCCAAGCCCTCCCCTCGCCGTGACGCCCCCTCTTCTGGCAGGTCCCGTTGAAGGTCTCTCAATGTTCGATTTGAAAGGAGCTTCACCACGCGTGACATACGGCTGTCGAGCAGACCTTAAATAATGATTCACGCATATTTTTTTTTTAAACTCATACTTTCCAATCAAAGATTTATCTAAAGACACAATTGTACATTTCTGGGTTATTTTCCCACACTACACTAAGTGGCACGTCGGCTTTCGCGACCAATATCATCCATAATAGAGGGTTTTTTGGGTTAGATCACGTCAATATAAATGTGTTGTTAAAACCACCACAGAAAATGAGTAAGGTATGTCACGTAAATAGAACAAGCCAATTCGTTACTAGTACAGCACACTGGTGTGTTGGAGAGCAAATCCACAACATTTACAATCTGAGTACGACGTTTCACCAGTAATTACAACTAGCATCATCAGGTGGACGTACAGCAAAAACTGTACGGCGAAAATTTCACGATAAAAAACACATCTTGGATATGTCCTTTTATGAGCTTAAACACCGTTTTCAGAGGTGACGCTAATCCAGAAGCACCGTATTCGGAGTCGAAGCAGACGATCCAGAAGCATCGTCCAGATTTGAAGCAGACAATCTGGGAACCAGTCTTTGGAAACCTGCTGACTTGTTGCAGACATCCTGAGAACGATTGTTTAAGGGCGCTTTATACATTTAAATGATTACCCTCGTCTTCGGAGCTGAAACATTGTCGTCAGAACCGAAGTAGACAATCCAGGAACCAGAAGCCAGCTGAGTTGTTGCAGACATCCTTGGCTTTGATATATATATAGATGTGTTATCACCTCCCTCAAGGTGGTATCAAACGAGTGTACAAACACGTTCAAAGATAACATCAGGTAAAGCAATGAGGAAGGAGTGAGTCTTGCAATCTGTCTTGAACCAACTTGTGAAAAGGAGCTTTAAAGCTAATCGGATTCCTCCAATGTAGATAAATATTCTGATTTAGAACTCGGAGCACACGAGACTACAGCAGACAATGCATTCCAGGCTCCATGATAAGTGAGCACCAGGATTTCAAGTAAAACTCGACTTACCTTGCGACAACGAACCAGAGTAACCGTGTGTAGTGAGTCCTAGGGTTAGATCCCGACCCTGATGCCTGTATATTTAGAGTTTGTATTTTTTCTCCGGTTTTCTCTCTCCACATTTAGAAACATGCTATGAATTTCACCGTGATAAGCCACTTTGTTGAGCCATACATTATGGCCAGGTCGCTTCTCAAAAAGAGCTATACTGTATAGGTCAGTGCACTTTACACTCCTGATCCAGTGCGACAGAGCAGGGAATCCCAGGAATATAAATACAAAGCGGCCTAATGCTTGATTACATTGTCGGTGTAACAGTAGACCTGTGGCTGGAATATCAAGTTGTCAGGCGCTCTGAGCCACTGCCTGCTCCTGGTGGCTTGCAGTCAGTCGTGTGTAGGGGGCCAACGCGACCCAACTTTGATGGCGATCGTCAGCTTCGGCACGTGTGACCACCCTGGTGCCTGGCTCAGCTGGGTGCTGACCCCTCTGCACCGATGGCAATGTGACTCACCTTGCCAGAGGCTGCCCGCCCCCTGCTTCAAGACATCTGTGACCATAATAAAGGTTTTTTTGGGTTAGAACGCATACATTGTTGGTTTAATCTCCAACACAGCGGTGAACTGAATTAGTAAGTTATTGACATGCTCTATTTACGTGACAACCCTTACTAATTGGCTATGTCGGGTGGGGGAGAGTTTATTGACACATTTAAATATTTCCATTATCTAAAGTTCTAAACAAAAAACAACTATTATGGATAATATTGGTCGCGAAAGCCTATGTTATAGACTGCATCTGTCACCTTCCCCTGTGGAGTTCACAGCCATCGTGCACTCAGGCCCCTTTGTGCACGAGCCTTGCCCCTGCACCCTGGGCCTGTTCGGCTCGTGCTGCATTCAGGCAGCTCGTGTTCTTCAGAGCGAGGATCCACGAGGACCTGCGACTGGAACTTGGTGGACCGTTGCTGTGATGCACACCTTGCCATTTAGGATGAGGAATTCCCCACTGACACTCAACAAAGTTGCTTATTGCGGTTTTGGTGTTCGGAAAGAGAGGTTTCTTTCAGCTGAGCTTGGTCTCCGTATTTCGTCCAGGATGAGCGCTGGAAAGACCGTGCGAGTGGATGTGGTGGTATAGAATGGGGAGACCAACACCTCCCTTGCAGTGGCCTTAAGAGAAAAAAAAATCTTATTTGAGGCAATGACCCTTCTTCATAGCACATAAAGGCCAGGGGGACAAAAAAAAAACAGTTGGAGTCTGCACTTGACACCAAGAAGGCAAAATGAAAAAAAAATGTTCCTACTTATTAACAAAGTCACATGTATTGTCTCTTGCTGGAATGTCACCATTTCTCATACCACTCCTTTCTTCATAGTTTTATTTGTGGTCTCACCTCGTTTCCTGTTTGCTTGTCACTTTCGCGATTCGTACTGACCCCCCTCTACACCAGGGGCTGTCAGTGCAAACACACTGACCATGCATTTACTAGCAACGTCAAAATCGTCGGCTAAACGAGCAGGTTCTGTTGGTATGCCTGACGTTACCGATGAGCTTCAATATGAAAAAAGCATTGCAGGCTTTAAACATTCAATGACTGAATTTCGATTTCAAGCTTTCGTGACTGCATGGATTCATATTCTTGGTTCTTTCGGTAAAGTCACGTAGAAGGGAAATAAAAAAATAATAAAAAAATAAAACAATAAAATTCTCACGACGTTTCGGCCACAAAGCAAGCAGCCGTCCTTGCGTTGTGGCCGAAAAGTCGTGAGAATTTTATCTTATTATGTTTTCTTTTTATTATTTTATTATTTCCCTTCTACGTGACTTTACCGAAAGAACCAAGAATATGAATATTCAATGACTGGATCATAAAACAGAACAAAAAAATTAAGGGACTTTATTTACAAGTAAAAAGAAAGGAAAGTGTTTATCCATTATATTTACAGGTAATACACACACGGGCTCGCCATAACAAGAGACCATTCATCAAAACACCATTTAATGTATATGCACTATTTTCCATCTAAATGCACACGCATAGATATACTTGTACAATGAAATTAACATTGCACTTTATAAACAAATCTATTCCCGGCATTGACATCTGCAGAACGATAAACTCACTAAGCAGTGATGCATTGCTATTCAACTTCCAGGCCAATACTGAACTTTCACGAAGTGTCCTTTTTTAATAACTCGCATTTCGCCTGTGCTAACTACCACAGGATGTTGCCTTCAATATTCTTCTATCTCTGCCCACACCATTTTAATCGCATTCGACTCAAACTCGCCGCAGGCACTCGGCCCTCTCGGGCCGGGAGGCACCTCCCCCACCACCCGGCACCACCGCACGACCCCACCACTGCTTCCACATTTTCACGTGGACCGACTGTTAACATCTACACAGTCATGGGCAGGGAAAGATCTCACCAAGAAGAGGCTTTTCCAACCGCACAGTGATTCCATCTCCAGACGTTTAGACCACCAATCACGAGACCTTTAATCCCTGCCAGTCCACGCGTCATCTTCCTGCGATTAATGTGCATGCTGTCCTCTTTTTCCAACCATATTTTGGCGAATGTCAGAACAGGCAAAACATTACGGCTTATAGACTTCACTAAACAAATGAAATTAAAGAGTATAGTTAAGGAAAGATGATTATAATTGTTAAAATGTTAAGTCTACATTCCAAGCGACATTGGCAATGTGTTTAACATCTTTGTCACAACAAAACCAACACGTGCCCCTGAGATTTTTTCCTGACAACATCCCAGACACGCTGTTCCATCCACAGCAAGATGAGTGGCCCAAGGCCATTTCACCACTGAAATGCCCCAGTAACTTGTTCAGTTCCCCAGCCCAGACTCGCCACTCCACCCACAGCAGGAACCCACAACCCGCCCGCTGATGCTGGCCTCGTAGCACTGAATAGGCCGCTGGGGTATCGGTGAAATGGCTTTGGGCAACTCATCTCGCATCATAGGGGCTACACACTACTGCTGGGTGGCCAGAGGCGGGCGGGGGGAGGGGATTTATAAACTTGACCTTTGTTTTGGATGTCGCGCTGCGAGAACTAATCCAAGTGGTGATCCCTAGCGTGCTGACCATTACACTGAGACAGCATATTGAGCTCATGAATCCATGTTAAAATAATAAGAATGATCCACGGAAAGATGTATGGCAGGATCCCACCGTTCAAACGACAATAGGGTGGAGGTGAAAGATCACACCGAGCTAGGGTCTGCTATGTGATAGAGCCTGGGTTTGCAGCTCATGAAGGCCCCAAGTGCTGCTGGGTAGCCAGGCATTAAAGGCAGCTCGCTCGCCTGCGGAGTGTGGGGAGACCGCTCCACCGCCGACACAAAGCTGCTCCGATGCACACACACGACACACACAACCCATATACGACACATACACACAATATACACACATGACACCATACAACACAGACACACACGGCACACACAAATCACACACATGCTCATTTGGTATCACAAGTATCCGACTGATGTTGCTGTGTGAAGTCGCAGTCATGCACCTGTGCAGTGACATCAACATGAGCCATCACGCACGATATTTGTTGGTATTATCATTCAGCTTGTTTCGCCAGGACTGAATCTCTTTCTGGAGGCTCCTGCCAAGTTTTAGCAGTAGGAAAGGTGATGTTCCTGCTGTGTGTAATCTCAATGAGTAATTTGGACGTAATTCTTCATCATTGGGATGTTTCACCAGCATGGGTTACATTCCGCGTGGTTTTTATTTTAACTAAGAATATGAACGACCTTGCGGGTAGCGTATAACATTTAACTTAAAGTCTCAGCTCTCTCATATCCTTTTCATTGCCCCAGCTCTCAATGTCAATACAAATACAGACTATCTGCTGCTGCATGTACTCAGAACAATAACTTAATTCTGCTTTGGCTAGCCATTGAACAAGGAATCAATCACACACTTTCAGATGCGCTTCTGTGGCCGTCTGGAATGCTCTTCCTTCGGATATTAGGAAGCCACTGGAGCTTTGCACTTTCAAATTATCTCAAATGAAAAGTATTTGTTTAGAACTGCTTTTTTTGTATAGTTTGTTGTCCTTTTCCCGCACCACCGATTATCACAATTGGCTACGTACGGTGCAAAAGAAGTCTAACATACACACATACTGTAATACATTGGGATATTTGTCCAATTCATTTTTTTAAAGTTTACACAAATGATGAATACACTGCAATACAACTCAATATACAGGATGCTTTAAAAAATGTACACTTATATGGGACTATCCTTTTTAATGTTATCATGTAACATGATAACAAATGTATGTTAACAGTTTCCAAAAGTCAAAGAGTCTCCACTTGTTCGCCATCATTGTCAACACTTGCCTGGAATCTTCTCCAGATGGTCTCTATAGAGTCCTGAGGCACATTTATTGTGGTATTGTTGCAAATTCTCAGAAGTGTTAAAATTGTTTTGAAGCACCCTGTATAAGCATGACATTCACACAGTGAAACAGAGTGCAATGCTGACGCGGCCTCACCAGAACATTTCCGTGAGCTCCGCCCTGTACGCGGCCACCAGCAGTGGCAGCCCAAGGTAGACTGGAGCCAGATAAGGAAACATTGGCTGCAAATACAGAAGCCGCAGGTTCAATTACGAATCATGCCAGGCAATTCAGACCCATTTAGGGGTAAAGCAGGCAGCGCCGTCCAGCAGCGTGTGGGACTTGCTCCTCACTTAGCGACAAACAGGACCAGCAAACTCCTTTGGTGGCGGACCTCATCGATCACACTCGGGCGGCTTTGATACCATTTTCCACGATACAATATTACATTTCACGACGTGGCGATTATTGCAATATCAGTTTCCCATCACTTTGTGATGTACGTCCAGCACAAATAGAGATGGCTTAAAATAGATATTGGGTGCACAAAAGACAAAAATCCCCCGTATAGCCTTAACAGATTATTGGGACAAGTGCTGCTAGCGAGCACCTATGAAGGCCGACATGGCACACGAGGGGATGAGTGGCCAACACCACGCCCGGCCGCCTTTGTCTCCCGAGTGGCGATGTTTACACACTGCACCAGGTACTCATTTGAGGCTGAGTCGACCTCGGGGAGGCCCAAAACCGGTTCAAATATTCGTCACTGGTGGCCCGGTTTGTAGCCCAGCACATTAACCGCGACACTACCGCTCCCCACACACACCGACACACAGTCAATAAAACATTCAGATTGGATCTTCTGCTCAAACCAACATAGAGGCATTGGTGCTCATCTTCTATTTACAGCCCTGCGCCAGTGGTGGAAATTCCATATTCCTATGGAGAGGCAAGACAAAACATGTTCCCTTCACCAACCCGCACTGACCAGCATGGTGAAGTACGGTCAACCTTCCACCATGACCGACGCACCCAAATTATGGCCGTCCCCAGAAGCTTTGGATCCACCAACCATGGGGTGTCTGTGCGAGTCTGCGGGCCTCTGTGCGAGTCCGTGGGTCTCTGAGCGAGTCCGCCGGTCTCCAAGGGAGAATGTCGGACTCTGTGCCAGTCTGTGGGGTATATATGTTAGTTTATGGGTCTCAGTGCAGCATTAGTTGGAATGGAGATGGAACATGTGGGGCTAAGGCTCGCTGGGGATGAACAGGACACCTTCTGGGTTTGGCCCTCACTGCTTAAAACACGTGGACTCTGTCGAATCCAACTTCAAGTAAAGCAGTATATAGCTGAACTTAGCGACGTGTGGACATCGGTTCAAAGGGCCTTGCGTACCAGAGCATACTGTTCCAACACCGCCGTGAGACAGAGTCCCGCAGCATATGATGTGAGTCCCGTGTAGAAGTAAACGCGACTATTCCTCTCAATGCTGTTCAGAGTAGAGAAAGACATGTTATGCACATCCGGGTACCACTGCTTTTATAAAAGAGTAAACCGAGTCAAGGTGGCGATGTGTAATGCATACGAGATGCAACAATGTCATTGAAGCAAGACCTTCGATTGAAGATACTTAAGCAATTCATGTGACAACTTTGTTACCTCAATGACTAAGCGTAAGCCCTTGGAAAATAATACAAAGTAGCCACAGATAAAGGCAACTAGTTTGAGAGTAGTAGATAAGAGAACATGATCTTTATCAACGTATTAGTGGGCGATGGTGGCTATGCACGTGGCCTGTAATCCAGCACTGTGGAGGCAGCGAGGTTCGGTGGATCACCATACAAATGTCGTGAAACGCCATTCCCGTGGGCATCCAGGAAGTGCCATACCCTGCTCTCGCCAGGAGAATGAGTAACAACAAAGTGTGGACTCAATCTGTTCCAACTGTATGGGATAGTGTTGCCCCCTACCACGTTTCCACCCACTTGCAGAAATGCTGAAGAATTGGCTGAAAATAGTTTAATATATAGAGGACTGCAGAGCTTGGGCAATTGTTGGCGCTGACTCACTGCGTGAATGACTTCCCGATTATGTGTGGTTCCTCAGGGATTGTGAGAGATGCAATTTGCATGAACGACGACGCGATTATAACAAAAAAAACATTATTACGAATCCGGTGACCGAGTTTGATTCTCGGCCACAGGCGGCGAGTGATATCTGAAACGGTCATGAGATCTCCCTCCACCAACCCATGCTGAGCAACCTGTTAAAGTATGGTCAAACAACTCACACAGCCCACAGTGTGGGGAGGCCCTAATCCAGCAGTGGAGTGATTCATTATCCATGGCAGAAACATGGCGACACGTTTCAATATCATAATCAATGAAAATCCCTACAAAGGTTAGTCGATTTAACACGCAGGCTTTCGCAACCAATATTATTCATAATTAAGATTTTTTGGGTTACATGGAATAAATATAATTACCAGCGAAACGTCGTAATCAAATGGTAAATGTTGTGGGTTTACTCTCCAATACACTGGTGTCTTAAAGTAGGAATCAATTGGCACGTTTTGTTTACGTGACAAACCTTACTAATTGGCTGTTTCGAGTGATGGTGGTTAACGACAAATATTTACGTGATCCAACCCAAAAAAACCCTTTATTTTAGATAATCCTTAACTTGCTTGATCGTTCTTCTTGGTTCTTTCGGTAAAGTCACGTAGAAGGGAAGTAATAAAATAATAAAAATAAAACATAATAAAATAATTCTCACGATGTTTCGGCCACAACGCAAGCATCCGTCCTCAGGTGAATAATGAAACACCACCAAGCTTGGAGCATATATTTAAGCTGGGTTGGAGGGGGGAAGAAGAGCGCCTTGACAAAAGAATTTGCCTATGGAGGAAGGGCCAGGGCTAGTGTGGGAAGGGTTAGATCTGTGAAGTGGTGGAGCTGACTGGTAAGAGTCATCCCATCGATAGGATGAACACATGTTTAAGGAAACACAAGCCCGGAGAGGGCTCAGTAGCTCAGAGGTCAGAGTGCTGAGCTGCTGACACTGTGATCCTCGGTTAAAATCCTGAAATTAAACTTGCTTCTCAAGCGCAGTTAGTTTGTGGTCTCAAACTAGTCACCTACCACTACACAAAGTAACCGAAATATGTGAATGTGGTTCACACATCTAATTTGGCTAAATTCTAGCTCTGAGAATTAAAACATGCCGTGATGGGACGTCCCTCCCTTATTGTTCAGCGAATGAGACAGTGCTGCCCTCTACTGTGTGGAGGGCACTGTAAGGGATCTCCGATGGAGCTTTGTGATATCTGCTTCCACGGGCTGTTCTCCAACACTAAGGGATGCACTTTTGTGAGAGATCTGAATTTATTCTCCATCTCAACAATGACGCGAATTGCATGATCAGGATTAATATTGGGGGTAAATACGAAACAAAGAAAGAAAATACCAGCATTGTGTCCTAATTTACAAGTTTGTGTAACGGTGGCTTATTCATGTTTTACTTCAATGTGTTAGAAAGAAGATAATACTTCATTGTTCAATGCACAAACATTGCCTCCTAAATGTATAAAGCAACACGTGGAATGAGGCGATCAAATTTATATTGAGTGAAAATTAACCTTACCTTATGTCAAATTTCAGCAAAAATGCTATGAATATCCCTGTACAATGGGAGAGAGCCATGGGCATGCTTTTGTTATTCATGCTGCATTCAGCTTCACAACCAGAAAAACACAAGAGAAACATTTAAGAGGTACGTTTTACTGCTGATATTTTCTGAGGACTTTTTTATGCTATGCATCTGTTGCTCTAACTATGCAGGCACATGTAACAGCATCCACTCGTCCATAAGAGGATTTTTGGGTTACATGGCATAAATATAATTACCAGCGAAACGTCATACTCGAATGATAAATGTTGTGGGTTTATTCTCCAACACACCGGTGTGTTAAAGTCAGGTGGTGGCGGGTATAATGACACATTTATATTTACGTGATCTAACCCAAATAAACCTCCGTTATGGATATTGGTCGCGAAAGCCTACGTGTTAAACTCAGCATTCACTAAACAAGTTACATAGACTGTTTTAAATAAAAAAAAAAATGAAAGCTGTGAAATGAATAGCGTTGGTGGATAGCCTCACCCGGAATGACGACAGTGTCCAGTGGCACTACCACGAACGGCGACACGTCCACGCCATCTCCAAATAATGCTTTGGGGAAAACCACTGCGGGCAACAGTTTGGACCGAGCCAGCGAGTGAGCGAGCGCGTCATCGAGCGATTTCACCCGTACAACATCATCGCACACGCCGGGGTATGCGAAACAACATCGATGTGCTCAACCTGTGAGCACCGATCTTGGAGAGACACGGCCGAATGCACCCTTTGGAAATGTTAGTAAGACGAGCAGCATCACATGGGTCTCTGGACAGTGGCATAGCTATTGAGCGTGCGGGTGGTGCAACTGCACTGGGGGGGGGGGGGTCTCGCAGGCCCGGGGGGACCAGGCGCCAGCCTACAGGCGGAGGGCCCCATTTAATTCTATCTACCAGGGCCCATACCAACCACGCAAGGCCACCAGGTTTAGGGACTATGGTGAGTGATGTGCCTGTAAAGTACGTTATGCCTGCCCAGTCGCTCCTATCACTTCAAGGGCCTATTTACAATTGCTCGACACGCACGTTGTCTTGTGACTATTTGAGAGGGCTAAGGAGTCTACGTGGTAATGTGTGGCCCAACCAAATATATGTGAGAATCCTATTCGAATGACAGCAAGGTAAATTTCCCCACACACGGTGCAACATAACACTGTAGCTTAAATAAATATAACTACGGTTGCTTGAGATGGCAAATGAAACAAAGATCTGTTCAAAAGCGTAACTTGCTGACTGTGCGTGCTCTACTTACGGGCGATCGGAATGTTCCCTTCAAGTCCACTCAGTTCCTGACACTGCCATAAAAAAACACACAACGGCGTTTCACCATCTCTAACGAGGACCTCAAAGGTTCATCACGTCTCAACCTTCAAGAGAGCTTTCAGCTAATTTTTCTTTATTTAACAAAACCATCACTCTCACGAATGTAATAAAAGCACGTATTTGTTGTGCGTATTCAGCTCGGTTACTGCTGCTGCTGGTCAGCAGCGGCGCATACCGCGCATCGCTCCGCTCTTACTTCCGTTAACGCTTCCAACCTTGAGCATGATTTTGTGAAGTGGTTGTTCAGTCTCGCCTCGTTTGACGATTCCTTTCAGCTGCAATTAAGGTTATTCGTTAATTACGGTAGGCAGTGTTTAAATTACTATGTTGCTGAGCAGAGTAGTGTTATAAAATATAGGTTGTTGTGCAGTGAAGGTGCCATCAAGTGCTCGTGTGTTTTGGTTCAGCTGTAGTTCGTTTTGCGTGGTGCACGGAGTGGCAAAGGTTTGTCCTTCCTCCACACATGGGGCAAGGAATCCTTGCACCACAAATTCCCTTCCACTGATACGATCCACTGCCCTTTTCGTTTTTACCATCCCGGTAACTATCCCTGTTTTATTTTTTTACTTTTCACCAATTTGAGATGAAGAATCCACTCGGATCTCTCACAGAGCAGTGAGACACTTCTGCTAGAAAATGACCCATGGAAGCAGATATCACAGAGCTACTTTGAACCGAGATCCGCACTGCAAGTGACCCCAGCTCCATGACTGCCATATGACAGTCATGCTCATCTCATGATAGTCAAACATACATTTTTATTCCCAGAGTTACATTATAGTCAAATTGCTGACTGCGCGTGCTCTACTCACAGACAACGGCCAAAACCTGGATTCTAACCAATGATCTCAGCAATGCTCGGCCGCCGAGGAGAATGTAGTAATCATCCCCAGGCTTACCCACGTGATGTCATGTAGACAGAGACATGCGAAGAGTAGGCACGCCGCAGGGATGGAGCACAGCGGCAGCAACTCCACCCCGCGCAGCGCCAGGGACACAGCCAGGACATCGCCCGCGGCCCAGTGCTGGGTCACACGCAGCACGCGCGGCACGCTCACTGCCTCATCGTCACACCAGGGCCGAGGCTACCGCCTGCACGGACGTGTGCAGCCCTCTCAATCCACTGCCGGATGAGGGCTTTTCCAACACTTTGTGTCGGTTGTGGACTTTATTTGGACATACTTCACCATGCTGGCCAGTGCGCGTTGGTGAAGGTTGGGGAGCGTAAACCTGGGGGCATGGAAGTACAGTACAACAATGAATGTTGCTTCACCGGCTTCTACTGCCCTCCACGTAGCCCCACTAGCCCTATATGACAACCTGTTTCTGCGTAGGGGTTGCCGATCCATGCACTGTCCAGGCTAAAACCTGCTTCGCTTCCGAGTGATTTGGTCATCGGTGATGGAGCCAGGTAAGGTAGACTAAATATACGAGATGTGATCGTGTTCTAATATATATCTTGTATTCGGTTAGGTTAAGGCACCCGTGCAAACGAGATGTTCCATCTCACGGGCACTCCGGGTAAAATATAATCCATTCATGCCAACAACAACAATCGGTGAACATCTACGGCCAAAAGAGAGGGCTTGCTCTTGAGCGAGTGGAGTTAGGTGCCGCGGGGCCGGGTGCACCACCTTGGTGACGAAGTAGCACAGGCCCACAGACAGGCTCGCTGCCAAGCTCAGCAGGTCTCTCCGGTCAAACCTCATGCTCCATATCTCTGGAGGGTAACATAAAACCCGGCAAGAGGTTGTCACAGACTGAGTGCACGCCCACGTATATGGACAGCTTACATTTGCCCGGGTCTCCATCGCAAGACGGACGTTCGGTCTCAGTGGCCTCTCGCCTGATTCTTAAGACGATGAATGAACGAGGTTGGTGGATTGCAAATAATCTGCAGCAGCTATGGGAGGGGTGGACAATCGTTTGCTTACCGAGGGCCAAAGGGGGCTCTCCAATACCCGCCAGCGGGAAAACACACATTAATGCGCCCCTCGCCATTAACCGCGTCTGCTACATTCGCAGTTTCGTAATCATAGCCACATTCTCATCGAAGCGACTGCAAACATCACGAGAGAAGGATGTAATGAGGCTACATTTATTTACCAGTAGCTCACCTCTCCTTGCCGTCCCTAAGCCTTGGTTAAGCGTCACCTGGTACCACGTATTGGGGAACCCTTCGGGAAGCATCGCGAGTGCAGTCGGCCTAAACAATCGTGTGAGACGGGAACATTGTTGCATCTTGTCAAAGTGACACTGATCGTCCATCATATTCATATTGTACACTTTCAAAAGTTAACCACTCGGCTGTACTAGCGGATTCATAGTTGTGTGTTTCACGTTGAACGCGCTTGCCATTGCAAAAAGTGCAACTTCGTAGTTCTATCTCTCGATGTCCTTTTTTATGTTGCACGCAACGTGAACATTAAACCACAAAAATAATGTGTAAGTATGGATTCTGTAACGCTTTCCAACGTGCTTGTCCTTGGGTGTATTGAATTTGCAGTACAGAAGCATATGGGCAGCTGTCATGGAAAAACGCGTCCGCAACTTTGCAAAAGTCCATCATCCTTTGGATTTCGCATTAAAATGCCCGAAAAAGCGTTTTAGTAATGTGGCTGGTATTTAATGGCACAATTCCCCAATACTAACAAAACTACAGCACCAAAGTGTTGTTCGTATTGGATAATCTCTGAGCCACCTGGCCACCTCACTCCTGTGTGTCAAAATATTATGATTGCGGTCACGGGAAACCCACCGTATGGAGTACAGGAGGGCCACAGTGCCCAGAACGAGGGAGTACACAGCCAGCATCTCCGACAGCACGTCGTGAGGACACATCTGCAACAGCCGAAGATAAACGTAGAACGTTTTTACTCTATTTGGTGATGCTTATGCTTCATTGGCAGTGGTGCAGAAGCACAAGAGAAAAACATGAAAATGCAAAACGTCAATAACACTGTGGGCTTAAAAGGAAAGGGCCACTTTGCAGGCAATGGCACTTCTTCATAGCACGTAAAGAGAGATAATATGAAGCATGGCCATTTCCCAAAACGTCGCCTATTATATATGTTTCTTGTGAAGGCCAGAGTGTTATTGACAAGATTTAAGATGTCATCCTCTGGACAGTCCAGGAAAATCTATGATTGTGTTGTCATGTTCTCATATCTGCACTCCTCGCTCTCACTAACCGACACTGAACAGCGTGGTGAAGTACGGTAAAATAACCGGCAGTGGTGGCTACGCACGTGGCCTGTAATCCAGCACTGTGGAGGCAGCGAGGGGTGGTGGATCACACAAACGCTGCGAAACTCCTTCCCATGCGCACTGAGGTGTCCATACCCTGGCTTGTCAGAAAAAGCAGTACAGCAACATTCTCCATCTGTAGAGACTGCACCTGCTCCATCTGTATAGAATACAGTGTTGCGCCCTCACTCAGATGTATGCGTTTTTTTCTGGGTATTCTGATTTCCTCCCACGTGTAAACACTCATGAATTGGCCAATAACACCTTAATATATAGAGGACTATAGAGCTGAGGCAATTGTTGGCACTGACTCATCACGTTGCTGCCTCCCCGCTTGTCTGTGGCTCCTGCTCTCGTCTCGAAGTCGTTCTCCCTCCTCGCGAGAGAGTGAACTCCGAGCCAGTGGCAGCCCGTCACAATTCTAAGTGATTATTCTTCCCCCAGCAGGGGACTGACACAAAGACTGCACGTGCATGTCCAGTGAGGGAAAAAAGTATTTGATTCTCTGCTGATTTTGTACGTTTGCCCACTGACAAAGAAATTATCAGTCTATAATTTTAATGGTAGGTTTATTTGAACAGTGAGAGACAGACTAACAACAAAAATCCAGAAAAACGCATTAAAAAAATGTTATAAATTAATTTGCATTTTAATGAGGAAAATAAGTATTTGACCCCTCTGCAAAACATGACTTAGTACTTTGTGACAAAAACCCGTTGTTGGCAATCACAGAGGTCAGACGTTTCTTGTAGTTGGCCACCAGGTTTGCACACATCTCAGGAGGGATTGTGTCCCACTCCTCTTTGCAGATCTTCTCCAAGTCATTAAGGTTTCGAGGCTGACGTGTAACGGGTTCCGGAGACACTTGTAGAGGTAACTTCTTTATTACAATCCAACACTCCAACAGTCCAACAGTCCTGATACTCTGTAACAACTCCCAGGTACACAGCCTAGGTACACAGCCTAGATACACTACTCTGGCTACACTCTGGAACGCGGCCTCACAAGGTCGTAGAGTCGGGAGTTCCAGAGTCCCACCACTGGCTCTCACAGCGTCCCAGGGTCCTCAGATGGCTGGCCTTGTGTCTTGGGTCTTGAGCAACAACTGGCCCTGATCGTCCAGGGAGCTCCCCTTTTATGCCTAGTCCCCAACGAGGGGTGGGGCCGTGTGCGCCCCCAGATATCCCACAGAGCACACACAGCCCCCCCCCTTTGGCGGCGCCAAGGGGCTTAAGCGCCTGGGAACCCAACGCCTGGCGCCAAGAGGCTTAAGCGTCTGACCCGCCTGGGAACCCAGCGCCTGGCGCCAAGAGGCTTAAGCGCCTGGCCCACCCAGGGTCCCAGAGCCCCCAGCAGCCCCTCCCTTCTTATGTCACTACACATCTCAGGAGGGATTTTGTCCCACTCCTCTTTGCAGATCTTCTCCAAGTCATTAAGGTTTCGAGGCTGACGTTTGGCAACTTGAACCTTCAGCTCCCTCCACAGATTTTCTATAGGATTAAGGTCTGGAGACTGGCTAGGCCACTCCAGGACCTTAATGTGCTTCTTCTTGAGCCACTCCTTTGTTGCCTTGGCTGTGTGTTTTGGGTCATTGTCATGCTGGAATACCCATCCACGACCCAATTTCAATGCACTGGCTGAGGGAAGGAGGTTCTCACCCAAGATTTGACAGTACATGGTCCCGTCCATCGTCCCTTTGATGCGGTGAAGTTGTCCTGTCCCCTTAGCAGAAAAACACCCCCAAAGCATAATGTTTCCACCTCCATGTTTGACAGTGGGGATGGTGTTCTTGGGGTCATAGGCAGCATTCCTCCTCCTCCAAACACAGCGAGTTGAGTTGATGCCAAAGAGCTCAATTTTAGTCTCATCTGACCACAACACCTTCACCCAGTTGTCCTCTGAATCATTCAGATATTCATTGGCAAACTTCATACGGGCATGTATATGTGCTTTCTTGAGCAGGGGGACCTTGCGGGCGTTGCAGGATTTCAGTCCTTCACGGCGTAGTGTGTTACCAACTGTTTTCTTGGTGACTATGGTCCCAGCTGCCTTGAGATCATTGACAAGATCCTCCCGTGTAGTTCTGGGCTGATTCCTCACCGTTCTCATGATCATTGCAACGAGGGACATTGACAGTTATTTTGTGTTTCTTCAATTTGCGAATAATCGCACCAACTGTTGTCACCTTCTCACTAAGCTGCTTGGCGATGGTCTTGTAGCCAATTCCAGCATTGTGTAGGTCTACAATCTTGTCCCTGACATTCTTGGAGAGTTCTTTGGTCTTGGCCATGGTGGAGAGTTTGGAATCTGATTGATTGATTGTTTCTGTGAACAGGTGTCTTTTATACAGGTAACAAGCTGAGATTAGGAGCACTCCCTTTAAGAGTGTGCTCCTAATCTCAGCTTGTTACCTGTATAAAAGACACCTGGGAACCAGAAATCTTTCTGATTGAGAGGGGGTCAAATACTTATTTCCCTCATTAAAATGCAAATCAATTTATAACATTTTTGACATGCGTTTTTCTGGATTTTGTTGTTGTTATTTTGTCTCTCACTGTTCGAATAAACCTACCATTACAATTATAGACTGATCATTTCTTTGTCAGTGGGCAAACGTACAAAATCAGCAGGGGATCAAATACTTTTTTCCCTTACTGTAGGTGGACACGGTAGCGGGAAGTGAGCGAGGAGGCGTTTACCCGGTAGAGAAAGTGCAGGGCGAGCAGGGCCACGCCGCTGCACAGAGGCGCACGTGCTGCGAGCCACCCGTGCGCAGGTTCCTCGACCGCGCACGCTGCCTGCGTTCTCACGCAGAGGTGAATGCGCCGGGTCGTTACAAACAGCAGAGTTCGAATCGAGGCAGCCGCCTGTGATTAAACCGGGTTCTCAAGTGTAGTGAGATGATGGTCTCAGTGCGGTCACCAACAACTGCACAAAAAACCACGACGTTGAAGTTGGTTCCGTACTGAATTCGACCAATTTTACAACTCTGAGAATTAGAATGATCAGCTTGACTGTCATGTGACAACCATTATTCTCGTATGGTAGGGCGGGTGTGTAAGAGATTTACTTGAAGGGACCTCACCAGTAGTTCTGTGGTATCCACTTCTGTGGGGCCTTCTCTAACATTACGGGTTGAGCTGTTCTGCGAGAGATTCGAATGGACATGACACCCATCGGCTGTGGTGCCACTCAGCCACTTAGGAAGCTGGACTAGGGTCCAGCACACATTGAGCACATTGGAATAAGTTGCCTCGTACGGTTCACTGGGAATGCCCGATGTTGAACTGGTTAAGAAACATCAAATATATTTCATGCTGAAGCGTTTTGTGATGTTGTGCAACCACCTCTACATTCCATCCATGGGATCTGAGCGATACACAGAACATCACCTCGTTTCACCTCACCATCATCTCAAACACGACTCTTCAGTTATTTTATACAGCCTTTCGTGACCAATATTAGAAGTCATAATTCATTATTTTTGGGTTACACGCCCGAGTTAAAGTGGCTTGTTCACTGATACCCTTCGCCACCCGACAGAGCCAATCAAATCAAGTTGTCACGTGGGCAATATGCCGCGTGATTTGGTTTTTAACGAAAGCAAAGTTCTAACCATTGTAAACAAAATTTCGCTGGAGATTAACTCCAGCGTCATCAGGCGTTAACCGCAGCTCTGCTCTCGCGAGAAGAGAGCTGCTGTGAGTGAAACGTCGAATAGAATTGTCAAAATTAGACCTTTCAACATCCGCTTTGCTGGAGAAAACATATTTGCCTACTTGACAAATTCAGTTGATGGGCTCTTTCGGGTGACGGTGGGTAATTGAGTTTGTTTATCTGTCACATGGATGATCGCGTTCAGCCAGTTGCCCCGCTATATTATTGCCGTGAGCAGAGCAACAGAACCGAAGACAACACGTTAATATTCTAGAGGAGTACAGGATCCTAATTATGTTTAATTAATAACTAATTATAAATCACGACTCCTCACCTAACCTGCTTCACCTGGTCTCACATGGAGCTCTCACACGACTCCTCACCTCCACTCACCTGCCTCACCTGGTCTCACGTGAACCCCTCACACGACTCCTCACCTCCACTCACCTGCTTCACCTGGTCTCACACGACTCCTCACCTCCACTCACCTGCTTCACCTGGTCTCACGTGAACGTCTCACGCGACTCCTCACCTCCACTCACCTGCCTCACCTGGTCTCACACGACTCCTCACCTCCACTCACCTGCCTCACCTGGTCTCACGTGAACGTCTCACGCGACTCCTCACCTCCACTCACCTGCCTCACCTGGTCTCACACGACTCCTCACCTCCACTCACCTGCCTCACCTGGTCTCACACGACTCCTCACCTCCACTCACTTGCTTCACCTGGTCTCACACGACTCCTCACCTCCCCTCACCTGCCTCACCTGGTCTCACACGACTCCTCACCTCCACTCACCTGCCTCACCTGGTCTCACACGACTCCTCACCTCCACTCACCTGCCTCACCTGGTCTCACACGACTCCTCACCTCCACTCACCTGCTTCACCTGGTCTCACGCGACTCCTCACCTCCACTCACCTGCTTCACCTGGTCTCACGCGACTCCTCACCTCCACTCACCTGCCTCACCTGGTCTCACACGACTCCTCACCTCCACTCACCTGCCTCACCTGGTCTCACACGACTCCTCACCTCCACTCACCTGCTTCACCTGGTCTCACGCGACTCCTCACCTCCACTCACCTGCCTCACCTGGTCTCACACGACTCCTCACCTCCACTCACCTGCCTCACCTGGTCTCACACGACTCCTCACCTCCACTCACCTGCCTCACCTGGTCTCACACGACTCCTCACCTCCACTCACCTGCTTCACCTGGTCTCACGCGACTCCTCACCTCCACTCACCTGCCTCACCTGGTCTCACACGACTCCTCACCTCCACTCACCTGCCTCACCTAGTCTCACACGACTCCTCACCTCCACTCACCTGCCTCACCTGGTCTCACACGACTCCTCACCTCCACTCACCTGCTTCACCTGGTCTCACGCGACTCCTCACCTCCACTCACCTGCCTCACCTGGTCTCACACGACTCCTCACCTCCACTCACCTGCCTCACCTGGTCTCACACGACTCCTCACCTCCACTCACCTGCCTCACCTGGTCTCACACGACTCCTCACCTCCACTCACCTGCTTCACCTGGTCTCACGCGACTCCTCACCTCCACTCACCTGCCTCACCTGGTCTCACACGACTCCTCACCTCCACTCACCTGCTTCACCTGGTCTCACGCGACTCCTCACCTCCACTCACCTGCTTCACCTGGTCTCGCCGTGCCGCCCTCCTTGCCCCGCACACCACGGGCAGCAGAGAGAGCACGGAGAGCGCCACGCGGCTCGCCATGGCCCCAGCCGGAACGAGACGTATCCAGAGATGTATCAGGGAGATATCGCAGGGCACGGATCGTGAAGATTCATCAGCTGCATCAGAGAGATGGAGACTATTGGATGTATCAGGAGATTATGAGGGGATGTGTCAGGAGATGCACCACGACATGTACCAGGGATACGTATCAGCTGCATCAGGGTATTCGCCGGGAGGTTGTATCACGAAATGTATCGGGGAGATTATTACGAGATCAGACGTATCCGGAGACGCCCCAGGGTGATGCATCAGCTGTATCAGAGAGAGAATGGGATCGATCAGACCAGGAGATGTATCGCGAGAAGCACCAGGGAAATGTCTAAGATGTATCAGGGATTATGAGATTATCAGGTGCTTGATGGGATGTACCAGGAGATGTACATCGCGAGTTCTAGGAGTGAGATGAGTGCGTGGGTGCGCTGCCCCGCGTCTGCACGCCCGTGCTGTGTGCCGGAGCAGCTGGGGTTGAGCGTGGAGGTGGTGGCGATGAACGCGGCGTCATTTGCCGAAGGATGCCAATGACGTGATTAATTAATCAGCCAGTGACAAGCCACCGCTGGAGGGATTCCTCCGCAAGCCGCCGTCGCCATGTCTCGCCCTGCCGCGATGCGACGATGATGACGACGACGATCCACGCAGCACCCTCGCACCGATTGATCTCACCGCTCCATCTCCTCGGTGGACGCGCCCACACACGTGTCACGCATGCGTCACCCTCCCTGTGCTCGCCGTGCCAAGCGTGGCGAGCGGGGGGATGAGGGTGAGGAGCAGGAGGAGCGGGAGGAGGAGGAGGGGCAGGAGGAGGGGGATGAGGGTGAGGAGCAGGAGGAGAAGGGGGAGGGCGGGAGGAGGAGAAGGGGGAGGGGCAGGAGGAGGGGCAGGAGGGGGAGCAGGAGGAGGAGGGGGAGGAGGAGGGGGAGGAGGGGGAGCAGGAGGGGGAGCAGGAGGGGGAGGAGGGTGAGGAGCGGGAGGAAGGGGAGGAGGGGGAGGAGTGGAGGAGGAGGGGGAGGAGGAGGGGGAGGAGGGTGAGGAGCGGGAGGAAGGGGAGGAGGGGGAGGAGTGGAGGAGGAGGGGGAGGAGGAGGGGGAGGAGTGGAGGGGGAGTGGAGGAGGAGGGTTTGGTCTGAGATCGCCCGGGACGCCCTCGACAGCAGAGGGCGCCGCGCTGACGTCACCTCCCCCGCGTTCATCATTCCGACACAGCCCGGCTCTATCCACTGCTGGATGAGGCTCCGTCACACTCCAGCATGATGGTCATTGCGGCTTGCTGACGCTGCGTGTTGGGGGTTGGGTTCGGGTGCGCGTACCCAGAATAGTTTTTCGATATCGCGCGCCAATGATGTGAGCCGTGGCTGGAAATCCAAATTTGGGATGCAAGTGCGCTAACCGCTGCGCCACCGCTCCACCCTGAAGCTCTGAATGGTGAAGTTGAGCGGCTCTCAACACGACGCAAATTCTCTTCGTGTTGTGTCCTGTCGGTTGTGTCAAACTAGGACTCCAGATCGAACAGTGTGAGGGTCCTGGCCTATTATCATTGGGCAGTTCATCAGCATTGGTTCCATCAAGCCCTGCCGAGACGAGCAGTGCTTGCCCAGAATGCTGCTGAGATGCACTCACAGAAGACCCGGTGGTGGCTGATGGGATGTGTAAAAAAACACTTTGACCAACTCGACATAATCTGCCTTAAAAGGCGACGTTTCGGGCAATGGCCCTTCTTCATAGCACGTAAATCGTGTCCGTGTGTGTTTTATTATTAGACCTGTGAAGGAGACGAGCTAATTGCTACATTAACTAAATACACTCACCACATCCGTCATCAACATTGTGTGGCCTTAACACGAAGAAGGCCCACGCCAATGTCCGTTGCCCAAAACGTCGCCTCTAAGATTGATGTCGGGCACATCGTGTTATTGACGAAGCTAAGCAGGCTGGAGCCTGGTTGGCAGAGTTGTTGTTGACTGTGCTTGTGCACCACTGCAAGTGAACGCGGCAGCTGATGAGGATTCGCGTGCTAAGCGCCATCCCTCACGTGGCAGGGATTGGTGGACTTGTGGTGCAATTGCACACTGGTCAACCCCTTACATCAGGCATGTCCAAAGTCCGGCCCGCGGTCAGATTTCATACAGTCCGCAGCTTCGGTCTTATAATGTGTTATTTATGGCTCGCTAGCTTTGTCAGAATAAATAAATCATAAAACTTTAAAGATGTAATTCCTCCTTTCACCACATGGTGGCAGCATAATTCTAATGCTATCTGGCTCTGCATCCGTGCTGCGAACATATCGTCAGATATTCAGACAACTGGGGGACAGGGGAGTGGCTTTTGATTATTTCTAATTAGCCTGCGATGAAAGCACGGATGCATCTGACACTGCACAACTACTTATTTTTTTAAGAGGAGTTGATGACAACATGAACGTGACAGAGGAGCTGCTTGACCTCAAAAGCCTTAAAGGGCAAACCAGATGAACAGATTTATTCGTTTCTGTTTGTGAAGCTATTGATGATATGGAGTAAAGTTTCTGGGATCATTACCGATGGTGCACCTGCCTTGGCTGGTGAGCGAAGTGGATTGTCCACACTGATCTGCAATAAAGTCAGCAAAGAAGCAGGTAACGCTATTAAACTTCACTTTAGCATTCACCAGCAGGCTCTCTGCGCCAAACATCTCAAATTTGACGATGTTATGAAACCAGTGGCAAAGGCAATCAATTCTATTCGCTCTAAAGCTCTATACCACCGACAGTTTCAGCAGTTCTTGCGTGACATCCAGGCTGAATACGGTGACGTAATATATCACAACGATGTGAGGTGGCTAAGTCGGGGGTCCGCACTGCAGCGATTTTTCTCTCTCAAAGAGGAAATTGGAAATTTTTTGGGTGAGAAGGGACAACCAATGGAAGAACTGTCCGATCCTGTATGGCTGGCAAATCTGGCTTTTTTGGTTGGCATAATGAAGCATCTGAATGCGCTGAATGTTAATCTTCAAGGAAAAGATGCAGTGGTGAGCCAGCTATACGCTCACATCAAGGCTTTTGGAACCAAACTGCAACTATTCCAAAGACACTTGTCCCAAACAGAGCCCTGCACCGTGCACTTCCCAGCTTTGAAAGAGGTAATTGACAGTTTCCCACAGGACAACATCGGTGTGCAAATGAAGAGTTATGCAACAGCTATCGCATCTCTTTCTGTGGAATTTAACAAACGCTTTCGGGACTTTGCAGTTATTGAAAAGGACATGTTGCTTTTCTCTTCTCCCTTCTCCGTGGACCCTGATGATGCTCCTCCACAGCTGCAGCTCATTGAGCTGCAGTGTGACGATGAGTTCTCTTGTTGACTTTTACCGGCAGCTGGACAAAAGCAGGTTTCCAGAAATGTGGTCATTCGCTAACAAAATGCTGAGCTTATTCGGCTCCACATATTTGTGAGCAAATATTCTCAGTCATGAACTTAAACAAGAACCGATTGAGGTCAAGGATGAGTGACTCTCACTTGCGTGACATTTTATGCATCTCAACCACTGTCCTCAAGCCAGACCTGGTCTCTTTACTGAAATCTAGATCTTAGTATCACCCTTCTCATTAGTGTCAGCAAGTTATCTGTTCCTTGATCAATCTGAAATTTGGTGTTCTGAACGGTAACATCTGTCACTATTAACAGTGAAAAGCCTAACACACACTGATGCACTTGGACTTATGGCACTTGTTTTATTAAACTCTTGAATAAGATTTGGTTATAACTGTTGATGTTATGTACCTGTAGATGTGACACAAACTATTGCTTTCTGAAAGATCTTGTAAAAGACAAGGGCAAAATTCACTTGTTTTAAAGTTTAATGATAACATACCACTTTGCATTACTTATAACTCCTGTTTAAAATGTTAATGAGGAAAAGATATTTAACTCATGGAAATTTAAGGTATTCTATAGTTTGTTCAATGTTATCTGACTGAATGAAAGGCAGAATTGTGTTTTTAGAGTTGTTCACATATGCCTGAGTGGCTTATATTTAGTTACACTGTCATTTGAAAAATAAAGGTAATTGTGACAATGACAATTGTTTTATAACAGTGTGTATTTTCATGTAACTTTTGTGGTTAAAACAATGTCAGAAGGAACTATTGGCCCCCGGGCATCTTCACTTTATCAAATTTGGCCCTCTTTGCAAAAAGTTTGGACACCCCTGCCTTACATTATACACTGTGTAACACGGTTTTTGTTGCTCCTGGGTACTAAGCGTTATTTTCTAATTGCTTATGCCTCAAAAGTACAGAAAATGGCTATTATTCCCCACAAACTTTGCTTTTGTGACCAAGACTTTACGCGAAGGAATGACACAAATGCACACCACATTTTCTCATTGAAAATAGGTACGTTTCAAAATATCACTGTCCTGGTCACAAAAGCAAAGTTTGTCGGGAATAATAATAGCCACTTTTTGTACTTGTGAGGCATAAGCAATTGGAAAATAATACTTACTGCCCAGGAACAACAAAAATGTGTTACAAAGTGTTATTACAGACCGAATCAGACCTTATTGGTCACCCCGTGCCCTTACACATCTCAAAGTCCCACCACGAGGGAGAAACACAAACAAAGACACAAATAGACACACACACAAATAGACACACACAAATACACACACACAAAGACACACAAATAGACACAAATACACAAACAAATAGACACAAATCGACACACACAAATAGACACACAAATGCACACACACACACAAAGACACACAAATAGACACAAATACACACAAATAGACACACACAAATAGACACACACACAAATAGACACACACAAAGACACACACACAAACACACACAAATAGACACAAACACACACAAATAGGCACACACACAAATACACACACAAATAGACACACACAAATACACACACACACAAAGACACACAAATAGACACAAACACACACAAATAGACACACACACAAATAGACGCAAATACACACACAAATACACACACAAATAGACACACACAAAGACACACAAATAGACACACAAATAGACACACAAATAGACACACACAAATAGACACAAATACACACACAAATACACACACAAATAGACACACACACAAATAGACACAAATACACACACAAATACACACACACACAAATAGACACACAAATAGACACACACAAATAGACACACAAATAGACACACACAAATAGACACACAGACACACAAATAGACACAAAATGTGACCGTATGGACCCCAGACCACCTCGTGTCTATATCTTGTCTTCATGTCGTTTTTTTGTAACGTCTGTTCGATGTAATTCGCTGATCCGCCCCAATAGCAACTTGACATCTGGGCAAAGAGCTTCACAGCTCATCGGATTCCGGGAAGGTAAAAAAACCTCTGAGCTGGCACCGCCTCCTGCTGCTGCTGCAGCTGCTGCAGGCCACGTGACCGTGACACGCGGAAGCTGCGCAGGAGCGCGCTGCCGCCTCCACACAACGTCGCCAACATCACCTCCTGTTCACTACATCACCTCCTGTTCACTACATCATACAACATCACCAACATCACCTCCTGTTCACTACATCACCTCCTGTTCACTACATCATACAACATCACCAACATCACCTCCTGTTCACTACATCATACAACATCACCAACATCACATCCTGTTCACTACATCACCTCCTGTTCACTACATCATACAACATCACCAACATCACATCCTGTTCACTACATCACCTCCTCTCACAACATCACACAACATCGCCTCCTGTTCACAACATCACACAACATCGCCTCCTGTTCACAACATCGCCAACATCACCTCCTGTTCACAACATCATACAACATCGCCAACATCACATCCTGTTCACAACATCACCGCCTCTCACAACATCACACAACATCACCAACAGCACCACTGTTTACCACCGTTCACAACATCACCATTGTTCACAACATCATTGTTTACCACAATTCACAACATCGCCACTGTTAACGATCCTTCGCCTCTTCATTGCAACATTGGCGACTTCGCCGCCGCACGCTCCACGGTACTGCCACGAAGCCGCCACGGGGGTTACTGCGCCGGCATCTCTCCAGCAGCGGAGAGCGCCGTGCCGCACTCGCCGCCGCGTTAGACAACGACCCCCCCCCCCCCCGCGCTTCGTTGCGATGTCTTTCACGCGTGGGGGGCTCTGACGTGGGGCCCCCCACAACCAACGCGCGTTCCGCGCCGCTCTTTGCAGAGGTTCCTCGGTTCGACACCCGCAGGCCGCTCCGGTTAATCCTGGCGGGTGTATTGACCCGTGACAATTAAAAGACTACGACGCGCCCGTCTGCTTTACAGGGGAACGCTCGAGATACAAGCGGTGGCGAGGAGATGTCGTCTCCCTCGCCTGCTATGCAGGATGATGGATGCCGTGGGTTCGTTCCCGACCCCTGACGCCTGCTGCTGTGTATTTGGAGTTTTCGTGTCTCCCCGTGGTCGCGTGGATTTTTCTCCGGGTCCTCCGGGTTTTCCCTCCAAACATTTATAAACATGCGTTTTTGAGTGTTTGCTTGACATTTCCACGTAATAAGCCACTTATTTGAGCTATTATTTGTGGCCAGGTCGCTTCTATATGGCTCAGTGGGCCTTAACGTAAAATAAAAAAATAGTTTTAAGAGGAGGCCATTGTGTGCCGACATAATGGCCCAAATTTTGAAAAAATGTAATGGCTCTGCAAATTAATCCGTTGGAATGTTCGTCGCAAGCATCGCCCCCAGACTGCGAAAACTTTACAAGACCCTCTTCAAAAAAAGTCACGAGACTGAGGCTTCCTGGGTAAACAAGCGTATTATTAAAATAAATAATTATATTCTTACACATGGCAATATGTTAAGCAGCTGAACAGTCAATTGCCTGGTCTGCTCAGCCACAGGATTACTTAAGGAGAGTGAGTTCGTGTTGTTTTGCAATTCCTAAGTTGAAGGAGCGTAAACCACCACAGTGGTTTACCAAATGGTCTACAAATGGTGTATATAAATAGAAATAATATCCAAAAATAACACCACTTTATCGGGGCCCGCGCCATGCTCATTTTAGATGCAATTGAACCACAGTCCTCGATGCTTGAAGTTCTAGCCCTGCTTGACATCTGAAGGGGGGAATATTGGATAGTTCTGCACTGCCCTCTGCTGCCTCCTAAGTAACCACCACCCAGAGGCGTAGCTAGGATATTTTGCGCCCGGGAACGAACTATAAAATTGGCGCCCCTCCCGTTTAATCACATTTTCCTGTTACATCGAATAAGGAATAATTAAAATTTTAATGAAACATTGTATTTAAAGAAGCAAATTTATAGAAATTATATTACATGGCTCACTCAGTCACTCGTAGACTGGTTGACATAGTCTACAAAAGATACATTTTTCTTGATTTCACTGTCGCAAACAGGTCAATCACGTAATCAAAATCAGTTTTTTCCAATGTTTCTCTTTCAACGCTAAGAAGAGCAAGATCGCTGAGACGATCTTGTCCCATTGAAGCACGCAAATACGACAAAATAAGTTTCAATTTGCTGAACGACCGATCACAGCTTGCAATTGAAACTGCTATTGTTAATATAATTTGCAGTGAAATTCGGAAATATGTCGTCTCCATAAAAAACAATAAAACCAAGAACATCCAAAGGAGTTTCTGGTAGAACTTCAATCCGGTTACTGAGCAGCATTCTGCAATCTCCAATTTCTGTGAAAAGTTCGTGGCCATTGATGTCGGTGTCATAGAAATGTCCAAAATCTGCAATTTTGACGAATTGCATCGACATCTGTGTCGGATAGACAAGTTTTGACGTCCAGCAGAAATCCCAATTGTGTTCAGGTCTTTTAGTCGTAAAAACCGTGTTGACATCTCCTGTTGAAGTCGATAAAATACGCTCTTCATAACGCGCACAATTTATTCTTCTGCTGAAAGTCCTGCATCTCTTGCCAGTTCTCCTGGCATCTTCCGACGTCACCTACTTCTGTCCACATCGATCCCCCAGGCTGTGCATCTTGTTTTGGCGTTTTCTACAGCAACTTGGCTCAAATCATCATGAAGCTTGACAAATTCATACTCCAAAGATTCAAGATCAGTTGCTGCTTCCTTGAAATTCATAGTAGGATCCTGTAAGCGCTTCTGAACATGATCAATTTTTCCAAGAATGACATTCCAGAAATGTAATAAAACTATGAAGTTAAAATTTAATACGCATGCCTGTAACTGTTCTGCATCACTTCTGGTTTCAGGCGTCATAGTTACGTCCTCCGATAATTTGTCTAGCAGCCCTACTAGTTCATCCAGTCCTTCATAGATAGCTTTAACAGCTTCTGATCGTGCACTCCAGCGTGTTTCAGGCCGTCGTAGTTTCCGCCACAAAAAAACAGGCACAGTGACTGAGGCTGAAAGACTGCGCCTGTCTGTTGTTTGGGACGTTCTTCCATGTAAGTTTTTAATAGGCGCGCGTACCAAAATGTAATTACATGACATGTAGGCTGTGTGTGGCGGGATATATAAACTTTTAGGTTGAGGTGTAGATTTGTGCAGTAGTTTCAGGCTGCCGCGCCCGCCGCAATAAGTTATAATGTAATGTTGTAAGCCTCATTTTGGCGCTCCTTTACCTTGGCGCCCGGGGACACATGTACCCCCTGCCCCCCCTTAGCTACGCCTCTGCCACCACCTGACCCTGCAGCTAAACCTCGGCAAGGTAAGGTAAAAGTTAAAAGGTAAAAACAACGAGCCTACCTTTACCCTACCTTTTACCTTACCACAATACAATCACTCTACCCTTACCTTTTACCCTTTAGCAGGTAAGGTAAAAGGTAAAAAGCAACGAGCCTACCTTTTACCCTACCTTTTACCCTTAGCCCATACAAATTACCCGATTACAGGATAATTACTGGGAAACTACTACACATGAAAAAGGTTTATAACGGTAAATGCTGTAGGTAGAGCGCTTTATTCATATAGAATACTCTCGATTCCAATTTTACACGTTTGTCGTCGCCGTCATCGCTGTTGTATCCTCAAATCTTGTAACTCAATTTTAACCTACTTCCTAATGTGGTATCGACTGCACACTTGGTATACTTATGGCATACTGATGACAATACAATATTCTATCATAAAAAATATATATTTTAAAATATAATTTTTTATATGTTATGTTTCGGCTTGGGTCTAATTGTCGATGCTCTACTGTCTAGACTGTAATTGGCCACGGTCCCTTACGTTGTGGCAGGCTTCGGGGCCACTTCCTGGAGTCGTGAAGTTCTGCCATAACTAGTACATTTTATAAAAGCGTGTTTAAAAAAAAGTATTTTTTTAATATTATTAAATGGAGGCCACGGACTGCGCCACGGACTGCGCCACGGAGCTTTTATCGGTAAACAAGGCACCGTATTTACCGGGTAATACTTCGCGCTACCTTTACCCTACCGGGTAATTCTTCCGAGCTACCTTTACCCTACCCTTTACCTTACCCCTTGGCATGTCGACACCTTTACCCTTTTACCCGGTAAAAAGGGTGAATTACCTTACCTTGCCGAGGCCTAGCTGCAGCCCTCTGACAAATGCTTTGTGAATGGTGGACACTCATCCGAGCACGATCCGGGCTCGCACGTGCTTATTCCAGTTTCGTCAGTGAGTGTATGCCATGGTTTATAATGATGCTTTGTGGTTCTGTCTTCAAACAGGTCACCTTCACAATCTAGGTAGAAGCACACAATGGACGACCTTGAGCAGAAAAAGGAAGATGCGTTGATGACTTCAAATCAGGATACAGGAAAAGAGGAGTCTGAGCAGGATGGGGAAAATCTTCCTCCAGCAACAGACACCATTGATCTGGGGCCAGAGGAGAATGATGGTATGTAGCATTTTAAGCAAAAGACCCTGAACCTATGGCCGATGCAGGTGAATGTTAGAGGAGGTGTTGAGTTGAAGCTTTTGTGACTGCAGGAACCCATACTCTTTGGTTCTGTCAGTAAAGTCACGTAGGTATAAAATAAAATAAATCACGGCGTTTCGATCGCAACACAAGCGGTCGTCCTCAGGTGGAAAAAATAGAATCCAGCAGCGGAACTGCTGAACCAGCGAGAGAGCAGCTACAACAAGGTTATATATGTGGCGATGGAATTCCTTTCCAGCTCAGACCCCGCTTGCTTGCCCATCGCCGCATCTATAGCCTTGTTGTAGCTGCTCTCTCGCTAGTTCAGCAGTTCCACTGCTAAGTTACCGTATTTTCTGCCTGAGGACGACCACTTGTGTTGCGATCGAAACGTCGAGATTTATTTTATTTTCGACCTACGTGACTTTCCCGAAAGAACCAAAGAGTTTAGAGGAGGTGGTAGCTTGTAAATCGCACACCTTGCTGACAAAGCTTTGCATTTTACTATTCAGGAAGGCGACCGGGTTGCTCAGAGGTCAGAGTGCCGAGTTGACACTTCTGATATATTGGGTTAGAACCCAGGCAGCCGCCTGTGATGACCCTTGTTTTCAGGTGCAGTGCAATGATTTCAGCCTCGTCACGAATCACTGCAGAAATAAAAACTTAAAATTTTATTTAATTTGTCTATATTCCAGCTCTGACTGGAATGTGATGAACATTTATTTCTGGGGTAAGGCCGGAGGGAAATTTTGTCCCCTATTGTGTGTATTAGAAATCTATTGAAGCGGTCTCAAACTTAGTTACGCAATATCCCATTGTGTTGTGGCTGTTCTGTAATATGAAGGGTTTGCATAGCTCTGCAAGAGATCCAAATGGTTTATTCATCACATGTCATGACTTAGCTAGTAAAATTGAGAAAATATTGGGGGGAAAGACCAAAAAAACTAACTATCAGCTTAATTTATGGCAAATAAAAATGTGTGCAACTTCATAGAGCACCTGTAACAAAGCTAGCTTGCACTGCGTTGAAATTTAGAAACATCACACGACGACACATTGTAAGTACACACTTTTAAACGCTCGGACAAATATATTGCCAATTTAAATCCGACTTGATGAAATTGTCTAATTCTGCTAATGCTCGTGTTCTTTTTGTGTGTAGATGAGGACGTGGCTGATATGAGCGCTCTCCTCGGTGACACGATGATGGAGAGTGTTCTCATCTCCGACTCCCCCAGTAACAGCGAGGATGACGGCACAGCCGAGAGTGCCACTGTGCAGACCAGCGAGAAACGAGAAAGCGGCGCAGAGACGGAGCTTCAAGTGGGCTTCCAACCGGACGCCAAAGGGGACACGGTGGTCGAGCTGGCACGCGTCGCCTCCGAGATGCACGCAGCAACAGGGACGTCGCCACCACGCACCGTGAGCGACTCTATCGAGGGCACGAACAACGACGTCGAAATCGAAGAAGCGGACGATGCGCAATCGTCGCAAAGCGCCGCTGCAGTGGCAGCGCTGGACCAGTTGAGCCCCGAGCAGGAGGAGGAGGACTCGCTGCCTGTGTGCACCATATTCAGCAAGGCGCCGGCAACCAAGGTGCACACACGAGAGCAGCACGCCGTGAAGGAGGACGGCTTCCAGAGCCAGATGGTGAAGTCAGCCAGCTTCACGGCCTGTGTCGAGCAGAGCAATCCTAAAGCTGGTGCAGATGTCATTCATCCGAGTCCGAGTCTCAGCAAATTCTTTGCAGAGGAACCCTCTACTACCGGGGCAGAGTTTTTCGATTCCTTTACGTCTGCGTCGGCCATCTCTGCGAACAACCCGAACGTTGATTCTCAGGCACCACCTTCAGGCTTGGCGTCCCTCTCTTTGTCTCCGTCTGAGAGCCAGAAGCCGTTTGCTGGTACGTGCATTTGTGATGGCAGAGCTTTTTTGTCAATGAAACTTGCAAACGGCTATTTCTAGATGGCAAATGTAAGTTCAATCACTCCATCATGCCGTGCATGTCACGTGACACCCACACACACTGTGTGTTTAATGGCCCTATGCTATGATGATGGACCATTGCTCCCAAATGTCGCCTATCTGATTTTTTTCCCTTGTAAGGCCACTGTTTTTTACGAATGTGTTGAGTTTTTCTAATTTGCACATTTATATGTGTCTGTTTCATGTGCATTTCTCAAGAAAGCGAAGTTTCAAGTCACACATCAACTGAAGCACCCCCTCCACAAGCAGCAGGTGGCTTGGAGTCTCCGCAGCCGTTCTCGGTGTTCGCTGCAGGAGAGGACGCGTTTGTGTCGGCCCTGAGCGTGAGCGAGTCGGACCGGAGGCACGACGCATGGCTTCCCTCGGAGGAGACGCGCCGCACACTGATTGCAGTGGCCACTCAACAGTACGGGAACATGTTTGTTGAACGAGAGCGCCTCACCATGCCGGGACTCAAAGCAGACGCGCCACAGGTCAGAGTGATAACACGCTGGGCAAGCCCACTCTGTCAAGGTGTGGGGTGGCTCAGAGGTCAGAGTGTTGAGCTGGCTCTGCTGAGATCCTGGGTTCCAATCCCGAGTTCAACTGCCGGTGATTAAACCAGGACCTCAAGTGGGTTGATGGCCATAGCTCAGTTGCCAAAGACTGTGCATACAAAAAAAATGACATTAAATTTGGTTCTGGGTTTTGGCTAAATTCCAATTCTGAGAATTATAAACATTGCTTTGATTCATGCTATGAACATTATTCTTTGTAGCAGGGTGGGTGGAACAATGCCACCCATTAAACAGGTCACTGGATGGGATCTCAGGTAGCTCTGTGATATCCACTTCCATGGGCCATTCTCTAACACTGATTGTATACTTGTGATAAAAATTGGAAAAATGCAAAATAAATAACTTATATTTTGGACCAACTATAAAACCATTGCAAATCATTGAAAAATGTGCAAAAAAGTCTATTTTTCAATGACTCCGTCTTCCCGTACCTTAAGTCAGTTTTTTGATAGTGACGTAGCTGAGCGGTGGCCCAGTCTACCGCTTGTTACCGATGTTTTCTATTTGAGTAGGGCAGCTGCCCTGGTTAATACTGCAGGTTATTAACCCTGCGTGCATGCTGTGTTATCCCTAGTGGATGTTAACAGTGTTGTGATGCTATTCTTTCAAAGAGTGGGCGGTGTGTGCTTGCGTCACACTCCAATTTTGCCATTCCAAAAAACACTCGCAAATGACTTAATTGGGAAAACCACATCGTGACACTGCCCCCTATTGGCAAACTAAAATCGTCTGTGAAACATGCCACCTTCGTGATAGCCTCACGCTATTTTAATAACGCTCATATCATATGTGTGAAATTATCATAAACATCTTAAATGACTGAACATAGGTTTTCCCCTTTTTTCTGCAACAAAAGAGGTGTTGAGATGTTAAAACACGAAACCTTTTACAAGGACTCATGTCTGCATTAACCACAATACTTGTGGTCAGAATGCAAACAAAAAACATAACTCTGATGATGTATGCATTGTCTTTGAAACTGATTAGTCCACACCAGAGACAGCTTTATTTTCCTTAGGAGGTTCCATGATCTTGAATGACTGTATGGTCCTGCTCCCACGTGCGTGGCCATTGCAGGAGGACCCTGTGAGAGAGCTGCTCCACAAGTGCGTGGGAGAGCAGGAGGCAGCCAAGAGGAAAGTGCTCACGGTGGAGTCTGTGGAGCCGTCTTTGGCTGGACTTAAGCAGCTGATTGTAAGTAAGAAGCCATATTAGGCTCATGTAAGAAACACGTTATGTATGACTTAAATTCTTAGCCATTTTTATTATCAATGGTTTGTCTCTCTTGTGCAGTTGTTACTTGTCATTCCATACGTGCAATGATCTTGTTTTGATTGTTAAATTATCCCATCATCAATAACCATGATCAATCCCCTGCAGTGTGTCCTACCCATGCCCACTTAGGGTTATTAAGTCAATATGACTTCTCTAATTTGCATTGTTTCTCTGGTGTATATCTTTGTCTTCCTTTCTTTGAGTGCAATTCTAGCATGCTTCTCTCCATGATTCTTGATTCCCTTTTCGTTTTCTGTTGCATTTGCTTCATTACCATCCTGGTTTCTGGACATACGCTTGAGTGTCAATGCACCTTAGCTTAACGCACGGTACTGTTAGCATTGGCGATAAACTTCCAAGCGATGTGAAACCTAATTTTTGCTGTTGTGAAGACGATGAGAAATACACGTCAATGATTCTCAGAATTCGTGGAACTGGCGTGCGGCGGTGGAGCTCACGGGCAGACTGCTCACCGCCCATGGGCAGGGCCACGGCAAGTGTGGCCAGCCGAGCAGCCACACCACCGACTCCATCCAGGTGGGACCTGCACCACTCATCACCTGCACCACCCCTCACCTGCACCACCCATCACCTGCACCACCCCTCACCTGCACCACCCTTCACCTGCACCACCCATCACCTGCACCACCCCTCACCTGCACCACCCCTCACCTGCACAACCCTTCACCTGCACCACCCCTCACCTGCACCACCCTTCACCTGCACGACCCCTCACCTGCACCACCCTTCACCTGCACCACCCCTCACCTGCACCACCCCTCACCTGCACCACCCCTCACCTGCACCACCCTTCACCTGCACCACCCCTCACCTGCACCACCCCTCACCTGCACCACCCCTCACCTGCACCACCCTTCACCTGCACCACCCCTCACCTGCACCACCCCTCACCTGCACCACCCCTCACCTGCACCACCCCTCACCTGCACCACCCTTCACCTGCACCACCCCTCACCTGCACCACCCCTCACCTGCACCACCCCTCACCTGCACCACCCCTCACCTGCACCACCCTTCAACTGCACCACCCCGCACCTGCACCACCCCTCACCTGCACCACCCCTCACCTGCACCACCCCTCACCTGCACCACCCTTCAACTGCACCACCCCTCACCTGCACCACCCTTCACCTGCACCACCCATTACCTGCACCACCCTTCACCTGCACCACCCATTACCTGCACCACCCTTCACCTGCACCACCCATCACCTGCACCACCCTTCACCTGCACCACCCCTCACCTGCACCACCCTTCACCTGCACCACCCATTACCTGCACCACCCTTCACCTGCACCACCCATCACCTGCACCACCCTTCACCTGCACCACCCATCACCTGCACCACCCTTCACCTGCACCACCCCTCACCTGCACCACCCTTCACCTGCACCACCCCTCACCTGCACCACCCTTCACCTGCACCACCCCTCACCTGCACCACCCCTCACCTGCACCACCCTTCACCTGCACCACCCATTACCTGCACCACCCTTCACCTGCACCACCCTTCACCTGCACCACCCTTCACCTGCACCACCCCTCACCTGCACCACCCCTCACCTGCACCACCCCTCACCTGCACCACCCCTCACCTGCACCACCCTTCACCTGCACCACCCATTACCTGCACCACCCTTCACCTGCACCACCCATCACCTGCACCACCCTTCACCTGCACCACCCCTCACCTGCACCACCCTTCAACTGCACCACCCCGCACCTGCACCACCCCTCACCTGCACCACCCTTCACCTGCACCACCCCTCACCTGCACCACCCTTCACCTGCACCACCCCTCACCTGCACCACCCCTCACCTGCACCACCCTTCACCTGCACCACCCATTACCTGCACCACCCTTCACCTGCACCACCCTTCACCTGCACCACCCTTCACCTGCACCACCCCTCACCTGCACCACCCCTCACCTGCACCACCCCTCACCTGCACCACCCTTCAACTGCACCACCCCTCACCTGCACCACCCTTCACCTGCACCACCCATTACCTGCACCACCCTTCACCTGCACCACCCATTACCTGCACCACCCTTCACCTGCACCACCCATCACCTGCACCACCCTTCACCTGCACCACCCCTCACCTGCACCACCCTTCAACTGCACCACCCCTCATCTGCACGAACATTCACCTGCACCACCCATCACCTGCATCACTCATTATCTGCACCACTTCTCCACTCGTCACCTGTACCACCCGTGACCTGCACCACTCATTACTTGCACCGCCCATCACCTGCACTGCCCATCACCTGCACTGCCCATCACCTGCACTGCCCATCACCTGCCCCCCTTATAACCTGCACTCTTCATCACCTGCACCACCACCTGCACCACCATCTGCACTACCACCTGCATCACTCGACACCATGTTTAAATATTTATGCATATAACGACAATCCCTTCAAAATTAGGGGTAATTAAGCTGTGGGGGCCTTGGCAAATCTGTAATCTGTGTTCGAAACAAAACCCCCGGTTGTCACCACCAACACAAAAAGTGCAGCCTCTTTACAGTGTTTAATGCTGTATCTGTTGCTATATTATTTCATAGGCGAGTAACAAGTGATGTATCAGAAACAAGGCACAGTATCTATCCATGAACTCTGAGGCTTTCTTGGGAAAACAAGAATAATAATAACGAAATAACTGAGAATTTGGCCAAATTTGCATCAGAATTTTAACATGTGGAAAACTTCATCACAAACTAAGAAATACATTGTCCCTTGCACTTCACAATCGGAGCTGCCACATCAGTATCTTCATTTTTTGGCAAATTGGTGTCTGTGTGTGTGTGTGTGCGTCGACAGCTCTGGTTCGTGCGTCTCGCCCTCCTGGTGAAACTGAGGCTCTTCGGCGGCTGTGACTCAGAGCTTGAGCCGTTCGGCAACTTGGACCACCCTGACCTGTACTACGAGTACTACCCCCACGTGTACCCAGCACGCAGAGGTGCGTGTGCTTGTGCACGTCGGTAGTGCCGATTACTTGCTACTTATTATTACTACGTGTGATCGTATTGAATCGTATGGGACCCTAGGGAGTGGTGGGTTGCTGTAACCTCCCTCCTCACGCAGGGTCCATGGTACCGTTCTCCTTGAGGATTCTTCATGCCGAGCTGCCTCAGTATCTCGGTCGGCCTCAGGAAACTCTGGATCGTCTGCATCAGGTCGGAGTCATTTGTGGAAAGGCAAGTTATTACCAAAGGTTCAATACAAATGAAGTCACACATTATCTCTGTTGTGGCTTGAGGGGTGGCTGGGTGGCTCACAGGTTAGAGCACTAAGCTGGCACTGCTGAGGCCCTGGGTTCGAACCTAGGTTTAAACCACTACCTTTGATTAAAACGGGGTCAAACATTTAGTGGGTTGACGGTTTCAGCCCGTTCACCGAAGACTGCACAAACAAAACATCACTTTCAGTTTGGTTAAGAAAATAAGCTTTACTGTCTTCCAACAAACATTACTCTATAATAGAGGTTTTTTGGGTTAGATTGCGTAGATATATAAATGTGTTGTTAAAACCCGCCACCACCCGACACAGCGAACTAGTAAGGGTTGTCACGTAAATAGAACGTGCCAATTCGTCACTAGTACAGCACACCGGTGTGTTGGAGAGCCAAGCCACAACATTAACAATCTGAGTACGACGTTTTGCCAGTAATTACAACTAGCTTCATCAGGCGACAGCCAGATTTGTGGAGAAGTCTAACTGTTCCGTTCCTTATTTTGAAGCGTAGATGTGGTGAACTTTTGCGCTCTTGTGCAAAGTGGGGGGGGGGGGGGATTATTGAGTCAACGTACATGATGCATGTGCATTATGCGAGCCCTTTGAGCCTGTCCTTCCTGTCTATTGTTTGTATTATAATCGCAGTGTGGTACCCCATACGCAACAGTAGCGCTACAGGATTATTACACCGGCATCTATCTAGCAGTGGAGAGCGCCGTGCCACACTCGGGTTATACAACGCCACCTCGCCGCGTTCCAACGAACCCCCCCCCCCCCCCGCGCTTCGTTGCGATGTCTTTCACGCATGGGGGGCTCTGACGTGGCCCCCCCCCACAACTAACGCGCGTTCCGCACCGCTCTTTGCAGAGGTTCCTCGGTTCGATACCCGCAGGCCGCTCCAGTTAATCCTGCCGGGTGTATTGACCCGTGACAATTAAAAAACTATGCGCCCGTCTGCTTTACAGTGGAATGCTCCAGATCCCATGACATTCTCAAGCGGTGGCTAGGAGATGTTGTCTCCCTCGCCTGGTATGCAGGATGTCGTGGATTCGTTCCCAACCCCTGACGCCTGCTGCTGTTCATTTGGAGTTTTCATGTTCTCCCCGTGGTCGTGTGGATTTTCCTCTGGATCCTCCGGCTTTTTCCTCTACATTTATAAACATGCATTTCTGAGTGTTTACTTTACATTTCCACGTAATAAGCCAACTCTTAGAGCTATTATTTGTGGCCAGGTCGCTTCTGAAAAAGAGCTAAATAGCGCAGTGGGCCTTAACGTAAAAAAAAATATTTTTAAGAGGAGGCCATTGTATATAAAGGCTTAGATGTGGTGACAACACTTGTGCAAAGTGGGGGGGGGGGGGGATTAATGAGTCAACGTTCATTCTGCATGTGCATTATGCGAGCGCTTTGAGCTTGTTCTTCCTTCTATTGTGTGTATTAAAATAGCCGTGTCAACGGTAATCCTATTGAAGTATGGTTCCCTTTATAGACATGTATTTAAATAATCTATTATTTTATGATTCGCTTCCACGCAGCTATCTGACCGGTGAAAATTATTTTTATTTCTTTCAATTTCGATAGATTATCTAATTTGTCTTGGCCAGTAGTAGCTAGTTTTGCACAGAACTTCAACATTATCAAAATCAATTGAGTGTCCTTGTTGGCACGCGTGTTCTGCTACTGCTGACAGTTGTATTTGGGAGTATTTAATATTTCTCTCATGTTCTTTTAGTCTCGTGCTGATTATTCGTCCTGTTTGTTCAACATAACATTTTCCACACGTGCAGTTAATCCCGTACACATCTTGTGTTGATAGCTTCGGTAATACATATTTTGTACCATATAATAATTTTTGTATTTTATGTACTGTGCCAAATCACATCTGGCTAGTTTATCAGCTACTCCCGCAATGTACGGCATTTTTATCGTTTTAATTACTTTGGCAGTTTCAATGCTCGTATTATTTGATTTGGTTTTGGCATTCAATGCCCTGTTGATTTGTGCATCATTGTAACTGTTCATATGTAACTGTTCGTATTCTAACATTACTCTTATGTAGCAGGGTTGGAAAATGCTGCCTGCTTTTGTATGGACTAGAGGTCACTTGAAGTCAGAGGTAGCTGTGTGATATCGACTACCTTGGCCCATTCTATACCATCTTTGGCTCTGACGCAAGTCGTGTGTCAAACACACTTGTATGCAGTGTGGAGTGGAGCGCTGATGCGGTGAATTTATAAATTGGGAAAATTACTGAGGGCATCTTATCAATTGTCAAATCTGATTTTGGTATCCTATGCTCATCTCCACATCCAGTTATAAGTACATGCATCCCTCAATATACAGAACATGAAACAAAATTCTGTATATCGAACATTATACAGTAGTTCCTCGGTTAACAGTGACATCGGTTAACGTTTTTCGGTTGACGTTTTGCCTCTCATAGGACCCCATGGTTTCGACTAATGTTAAAGTTTGAATTAATGGTATGTTTACGTTATGCATGCAGGCTCTAATTTTGGCCAATCCAAGCGCTCGTAAGTGGGCTGAGCATGCCTCAGGCAGTCGGCAACATCCATTTATGAGCATTTAGACCTCGGGTGACTTTATTTACGCGATCTTTTCTGTTTTGGCCGTGTAAACAGCTCTCTTGCAAACTCAGTGATTTTTACTTATTTTCAACTTATAAGTTAATTAATAGTTATTGCAATGGCCTTAAGTGAAATTGCAAAAGGAAAAGAGGAAAATAAGGGCTGGTTCGAAAAATCAAATGCTTTTAACATGCCATTCCTATATTAGATTAACAGTTATTTCAGTTAACAGAAGTTATCATGGAACGGATTAAAAACATTAACCGAGGGACTCCTGGAGGCGCGTTCCTGTGGAAAACATTTGGTCCCTAGACTTAATAAAATCACACTTAAGAATGCAGCAAACCTCTTAAGTACATATTTAATGAAAAGTGAATAATTTAATGATAAAATTGTGATAATACTCAAAATAGGTCATGAAATATAAATACTGTACAGTACTTACATTCAAGGTAATTGCTTTATAGTTTATTTTTAAATCCTTTATATTAAGTTCGCGTGCTTGATTGCTTGCTTGCTTAGGACCGTGCAAATCTTTCGGTCGTTTTTTAACCCACTTCCCGTGATCCAATCGAGCTGACATTTTCCACACAGACTCGTTGTGCCAGACAATTATTGTTCGTGAAAAAAAATTCCCAAAATTTTACACTTTTTAGGCAAAAAAAAAATATTTTACATATATTCAAATAGAACGCATTCATGGCTTTGGCTGAACGCCAGAGTGTAAGAGCCCAGAGCGTAACCCCTCCACAGGCCGTGGTGGAGTAGCGCAGTTGGTAGCGCCCTCGCTTCCCATGCCAAAGGTCGCGGGATCGATCCCTGCGTCCTCCACAGGCGAATATATTTTAAATCCTTTATATTAAGTTCGCTTGCTTGCTTAGGACCGTGCAAATCTTTCGCTCGTTTTTTAACCCACTTCCCGTGATCCAATCGAGCTGACATTTTCCACACAGACTCGTTGTGTGTGACAATTAATTTTCGTGAAAAAAAAAATCAAAAATTTTACACTGTTTAGGGAAAACAAATTAAATATTTAATTACCAATTGCTTAATGGTGGCAGACAATCATCTGACCCATAGGTGGCAGCCATCTCAAGCCAGAGGACGAGAGGACTCTAGCCGCCACGCATATAAAGGATTTATAGTGAAAAACTTTGTTTTTACGGGTTTACTTGTTACACTTGCACTTAATGTCCTCTTTCCAGATATCTCGACTTACTTTATGAACGTTGAAGAATGTTGAACAACCTTCTTGGTTCTTTCGGTAAAGTCACGTACGTGACTTTACCGAAAGAACCAAGAAGATGAATCCCTGCAGTCACGAAAGCTTTAAATCGAAATGTTGAACAAGTGTGTAATCCTGCGCAGTACAGTACCCACTAACCTCCCTCCCATACCCCATCCCTATTCACCATATCACTTTTAGCTTCCCTCATTGTAGCACTCATAACCCTTGTAAAGCGCCTTGGATAAAGGTGCTATATAAGATAAACACAAAGGACCGAACCAAAACGAGCTGAGCTTCGGTGGCAGCACAGAGAGCATGGGAAACCAGTCGCTTGAAACGCATGCTATGCAAACTGCATAGGACAATATCTTGAAATTTGCTTGGACAAATGGAAGATCGAACATTGTTTTATTCCTCCTCCCCCACCCCCCCCCCCCCCCGAATTCAACTTAACGCTTGTAGAATTTGTTCCAAAACGTGTAAGTTAACGTTCTAGCGAAATTCCATATATTGAGTTGCCGTATAATGAGGGATAACTATACAGGTGGTCCCCACTTTTATGACACAATGCATTCCTGTAAACCCTGTCATGAATCATATTGTCATGAATCAGACCTTCTTTTCTATAGACAGAAACAGTCGAAACTTGACTTGTGTTTTATCAGTCATTTAATAGGGTTTGATAGGTTAAAATCCACTAAAACACTTGAGAATTACAAAAACTCCACACCAAGTCACATCGGAAACCACACTAACTGTTGAAATGTATTCGGAGTCAAGTCGGAAAATGTGTCGTAAATCAAGTATCTGTGTTGTAAATGTGGATCTTTATATATTAGACCATAAATCGGAGACCGCCTGTATAGATTTACGGTATTACAGTTATAACGCATGTTCATGTGTACGTTTTCTAATTCCTCATTTAGATTCTAAGCAACCTAGAGAATGGACTCGCAGAGGACGGGAGCATGATCAACCTCTCCACAGAAAACCGGCAAGGTAGCCACCAATCACCCCTTGCGTCACCGGTGACTTCTCTAATGGGATGTCTCGCCACAGTGGCGAGATATTAACATCCTCGCCTGGTATACAGGAGGTCGTGAGTTTGATCCTGATATTGACGCCTGTATATTTGGAGTTTGCATGTTCTCCCTGTGGTCTTGTGGATTTTTCTCTGGATCCTCCAGTTTTTTCCCTGAACATTTATAAAAATACATTTAGAGTATTTGGCTGCTGTACATTTCCATGTGATAAGCCACTTTGTTGAGCTATCACTTGTGGCCAGGCCGTTTCAGAAAAAGAGCTATATAGCTCAAGTGGGCCTTAGTTGGTATAATAAAAATAGTTTATACTCTTTGGTTCTTTCGGTAAAGTCACGTAGGTATAAAATAAAATAAATCACGACGTTTCGGGCGAAACACAAGCGTCCGGCAACCAAAGAGTATAGGTGTCAAGAAGTTAAAACACCACTCTCCAGAGTGACGGTGCCAACGTTGTGACTACGAGTTGTTCTTCTCATCATTATTCAGTGTGAGTGAGGCCGCGCCGCTATTGTCCCCTACGTGGCAACTGGCCAGGTGGCTCAGCGGTAGAGTGAACGGCTCGCAGTCGGAAGGTTGCGAGTTTCAATCCTGGCTGAGGGGGGGGGATTGACTCAGCCCATCATCCTTCTGCAGTCGATAAAGTGGGCACCACTCTGTGTTGAAGTCAACAGTGGTTGCCCTATACAGAGACTCTCCTTTGCCATAGCAATGTGGAATTTCCACCCCTTGCTTTGCTCTGTAAACGGGAGGTGGACACTGTCCCCATGCTCATTTGAGCAGGAAACCACTGACTGAGTAAAAGAGAATTGAAATCTTCTCGGTGTGAGCAATGTTCTGTTTGCCATTTGTTTAGCCTCCGTGCAGCTGTGGCGGTCGCGCGTGGCTCGCGTGCACTACTCCACCGCTAACTGCCTGCTGCTCATGAAGGTGAGCTTTGCCACCATGGCATTGCACTGACAACAGTGTGTTAGTTCTGTATCACCTCGTTCATGCAAATTACACCTCAAACGCTGCTGAGATTAGAATGCGCACGGAGGCGTCAGAAACCACAGACAAGTGAGAAGGCAGCCAGATCAGACAACAACAATTTCCCAAGCTCTGTGGTACTATGTTGGGATATTTTACCAACTCTATTGATGAGCGTTTATTACTTTGGGAGGAAACCGGGGTGCCAGCAGGAGACCCATGCATGCGAGGGGTGCAACATTCAATCCCGGCATGGAGAGAAGTTAATCCACTTTCTCTACTGCCATCGTACCCTGACAAGCCGGGAGATGGCGACGCCCACGGGTAGGGAGTTTTACAAAATCGTGTTGATGACCCTCGCTGCCTGCACAGCGCTGCATTACAGACCATGTGCAGCGTAGCCACCAGCAGCACTCGACTTCGAGGAAAGTGCCGTTGGTGGAAAACTGCCTGAGTGAATTGTAATTTTTGTGCCACCTGGAATGGTTTCCCGCCCCACAATAGGCAGATTACAAATGCGACCCACTCCAAATCAGGGGTGGGGGAAGGGGGAAGAGGAAATTTATCATTCAAGTAATGCATTGCTATGTATGTTTCAAATGGCACCCTGGACACTCTTGCAAATGAGAGATTCCTTTTCAAATGGATTTTCAGGTGAAATATGTTAACAAATAATATTAAATAAAATATATTCCAGACCATTATGACATCTCAACACAGTCGCTATCCTGACCAATCAGGCTTCAATCCGTACAGGATCGGCCCATTTTTGCAGTGGTGAGAGACTGCTCTTCTACGATGCCTGGTCAATCCCTGCTGTGTGTGTTAATGCATTTAACTCCTTTATCCTTGACAGCTTTTACACATTAGTACAATAGTTACCCTATATGAGCACGGTTGGCTACGTACGGTGCGAGAGAAGTTCAACATACATTTTTAATGTTTGTCTAACTTTATTGTAATTGTGCTTTGATCAGTCTCAGAATAATCTGCCCAGGCCGACTTGTTACAGGTGCTTCATTTAGCATTAATTTGTGAAAAAAATGTTAAACCGTTTTTGCTCCCATTTCTATTTGCTTCACTGCTGTTGCTATATTTTATTTGTTTTTGCTTTTGTCATTTTGGTGACTCCGGTCACTCGCTCTTGAGAATTCGACTCTAATCCTAGTCCCTTGAGTTCACACGTAGTTAAGCAAAATAGGCTTGTAACCTGAATATGCGTTTAGGATTACTGCTTGGCTGTGAACATGTATGAAGCCATCATCCCCATCCAGCCAGAGCAGGAGCTTCAGCTTCTCAATAACATCGGAAAGATCCTGCTTCAGGTAATGAAGTCTTCATGAAATTGACATTATTGTATATTTTTGCCAATTAGATAAAATCGATATTATCTCCGTACTGCATTGTAAATTTAAATGTTACGTGTTTAACTGTTGCGCTTACAACAACGTAAGTCTTCCAGGTATGGATTAAGGTATTTTCCATCAATTCTGTGCAGTGTTTAATTGCTTTGTATTCAACAGTATGTACAATAATTCAAACACAATAACCAACAAAGCAAATAAATATTCAACTCCGCGTAACTTTTCACACATTACCTTAAACCCTGCTTTAATGATCACGATGCAGTGTTTAGGTTAAGCTACAATTAATTCCCTTAAAAATAAAGTTCACTCTGAAATTAAAAAACTATAAATATAGATTTGTATCTCATTGCAGATTTATACAAAGTCCGTGTTTTTACCCTCTATGTAAAGAAGAATGATTGAGGCTATCTAATTTATGTGCAAACTTTTGTGACCTGGTCTGCAAATTTTATTCAAGCAGTTGGTCCCGCTTCTTTGACGATGTCCACAGTAATGTCATCTGGTCCAGGGGCTTTCGCCATTGACGATGCACGTCAAGTACCTGACGTTTGCTCCTTCAGGTGGGAGACCTCGCGGCGGCACAAAAGTACTTTCAGAGAGTGGAGTCCATTTGCGAGAACAAGCAAGGCGTGCAGCATCAGACCATGGTGCTTATGAACAGGTGTGTTACTCTTGTAAAAGGAAAAAGGTGCGGCCCTAGAATTGCTCTCCCACGCCACTGCTAGTGGAAGGGCCCCCACTCGAGCAAACTTTAGAGGGCGTTTGGTCTCCTCTTCCAGGCGTGTTGGAATATTGGAAGAGATTACTTTTGTTAATTTTTCTGTAATTTTGTATTTCAGCACTTGTCAAGCCATTGAAACCTGTTCCATAAGTCCCTCCCACAGAATTGGGCACCGTTCACAGAGGGCATGACAGTGCACACAATGTAGACGATAAACTGCGTCCCTCGTATGAGATGATTATTTGAGAGACTCTCTCAAAATGAAAACATTGGGAAAATGTAAATTGCACTTCCAAAGCTCAAAATTTTGAATAGTGTTCAGAGTTTCGATTTAAAGCTTTCGTGATTGCAGGGATTCATCTTCTTGGTTCTTTCGGTAAAGTCATGTATAAGGGAAATAATAAAATAATAAAAATAAAACATAATAAAATACAATTCTCACGACGTTTCGGCCACAACGCAAGCAGCCGTCCTCAGTTGAAGAACAGGTCTGTCGGAAAGACAGCGTCTGAATGAACACCACCAAGCTTGGCAGTGTATATTTAACCTGGGTTGGAGGGGGAAGGGCGCCTTGACAAAGGAATTTGCATATCAATATGAATTTAGCATATTTATGGGAAATGTAGATATGGGATTAGTCGCTACTTGTGGAATGCGTAGGAGGTGGGGGGGGTCTCAAAGTCATATTATGCCCAGTGCATTATGTAGGATTAGCAGCATCAAAGGGAGGGAGTAGGGTTAGCAGTAATAAAGGGAAGGAATTTTAATAGTAATGAGCTGCAGCAGCTAAACCACCACGCAAATAACTATAATATAAACTACATCAGTATCATCAATATACTAAATATACTATCCAATAAGCTGAGCTACTAACAGTAAGTCATACATTATAATTCTATGTCGCAAAAATATAATATGCCTCTAGCTAAACTTTTTTCTCTTACATACTGCCATAGACAAACCCAACATAAAATTATATACTGCATTACTATACACCACCCTATACCTTAGACTATACATTGTAATATTACACTGTATTATTCTACCCACCCTACTGTATACCACACTGCTTATATTCACTATATAATTACGATACTATATATTACCTTATACATTATATTAAACATTACACTTTTATACTATTTATTATTATACAATCTGCTATACACTATACTATTGACCGTCGCGTGAAAGGTACTAAGAGGAAGCAACGAAATATGTCAATGGGAGAGTGGTGGTAGGAGACTTGCAGCGGAGCAAAGACTCCATTATTTCCCTTCTACGTGACTTTACCGAGAGAACCAAGAAGAGTGTTCAGAGTAACGCTGCCTCGCTATTTGCTGCGTCTCCTTGCGGTGTGTACAGTAAGGGAAAAAAGTATTTGATCCCCTGCTGATTTTGTACGTTTGCCCACTGACAAAGAAATTATCAGTCTATAACTTTAATGGTAGGTTTATTTGAACAGTGAGAGACAGAATAACAACAACAAATTCAAGAAAAACGCATGTAAAAATTTTTATAAATTGATTTGCATTTTAATGAGGGAAATAAGTATTTGACCCCTCTGCAAAACATGACTTAGTACTTGGTGGCAAAACCCTTGTTGGAAATCAAAGAGGTCAGACGTTTCTTATAGTTGGCCACCACGTTTGCACACATCTCAGGAGGGATTTTGTCCCACTCCTCTTTGCAGATCTTCTCCAAGTCATTAAGGTTTCGAGGCTGACGTTTTTGGCAACTCGAACCTTCAGCTCCCTCCACAGATTTTCTATGGGATTAAGGTCTGGAGACTGGCTAGGCCACTCCAGGACCTTAATGTGCTTCTTCTTGAGCCACTCCTTTGTTGCCTTGGCCGTGTGTTTTGTGTCATTGTCATGCTGGAATACCCATCCACGACCCATTTTCAATGCTCTGGCTGAGGGAAGGAGGTTCTCACCCAAGATTTGACGGTACATGGCCCCGTCCATCGTCCCTTTGATGCAGTGAAGTTGTCCTGTCCCCTTAGCAGAAAAACACCCCCAAAGCATAATGTTTCCACCTCCATGTTTGACGGCGGGGACGGTGTTCTTGGGGTCATAGGCAGCATTCCTCCTACTCCAAACACGGCGAGTTGAGTTGATGCCAAAGAGCTCCATTTTGGTCTCATCTGACCGCAACACTTTCACCCAGTTGTCCTCTGAATCATTCAGATGTTCATTGGCAAACTTCAGACGGGCATGTATATGTGCTTTCTTGAGCAGGGGGACCTTGCGGGCGCTGCAGGATTTCAGTCCTTCACGGCGTAGTGTGTTACCAACTGTTTTCTTAGTGACTATGGTCCCAGCTGCCTTGAGATCATTGACAAGATCCTCCCGTGTAGTTCTGGGCTGATTCCTCACCGTTCTCATGATCATTGCAACTCCACAAGGTGAGATCTTGCATGGAGCCCCAGGCCGAGGGAGATTGACAGTTATTTTGTGTTTCTTCCATTTGCGAATAATCGCACCAACTGTTGTCACCTTCTCACAAAGCTGCTTGGCGATGGTCTTGTAGCCCATTCCAGCCTTGTGTAAGTCTACAATCTTGTCCCTTCCATCTTTGGAGAGCTCTTTGGTCTTGGCCATGGTGGAGAGTTTGGAATCTGATTGATTGATTGCTTCTGTGAACATGTGTCTTTTATACAGGTAACAAGCTGAGATTAGGAGCGCTCCCTTTAAGAGTGTGCTCCTAATCTCAGCTCGTTACCTGTATAAAAGACACCTGGGAGCCAGAAATCTTTCTGATTGAGAGGGGGTCAAATACTTATTTCCCTCATTAAAATGCAAATAAATTTGTAACATTTTTGACATGCGTTTTTCTGGATTTTTTTGTTGTTATTCTGTCTCTCACTGTTCAAATAAACCTACCATTAAAATTATAGCCTGATAATTTCTTTGTCAGTGGGCAAACGTACAAAATCAGCAGGGGATGAAATACTTTTTTCCCTCACCGTATGTGGCATTTGCCAGTGCAGTCTCGGTGTAGTACTGCACGGCGTAGTTACTGATGCAGCACTGGATTGCACTTTCCTAAATTCCCTTGTGATTTGTGATGGATTCAATGTGTTGTTTTACCTTTTATGTTTCTTATCATTTAAAAGCAATATGAGTAACATTACACTCTAAATGTGGTCTTGTAAATAATGGTTGTTTTTGTCACCGCACCCTGGATTAGCCTGGTGTTTAGTGGACACATTGTAATTATATTCAACACTTTCCCCCATGGGTGACTCCCATGGATGAACCACCTACCACCACCCAACCCACACACGCTCCCACCCACCTTCATCTCACTTGTTGAGGTTTGCTCAAATTAGTTCTGTAATTTTTAGCAATAATAAACTTCTCTCTGCGATTATTAACAATGTAATGGTAAGACTATTGCATGACATGGATCACTAAGTAAGCTTCATAATAAAACATTTAGATTCACCATTGATGTATAGGTTGGGCCACCTAATCATCTGACCAAACTTGTGTAATTTAGAACCCTCCACCACCCAACAGCCAAACAAATTGTCACATGCATATGAACGTTTAACGCAATAAGTACCCTACGCCCGCTCGTGAAATAAAATGTTACGTTTGCTGGAATAATCACAGACATGGCTGGTTTTAATATTTTTGTGATTTTTTCCCCCAGAGCATTCGCACTCCTGGCAGAAAATAATTTCCCAGATGCTTACCGCTGCTTCCAGGAGGTCTCCAAGTTGGATCCCACTAATGCGGTGGTAAGCTTCCTTACCCCTTAGCATGATTGTTAGGGTAACTTTTATTTACCTTTACGTATTCTTGCCTTCTCCACATAAATGCTATGGTGCAAAGCCACCCAATTATACTATTGGAATCGTGTCCTGAGACCAGCTGTCCATTCGGATCTCTCACAGAGCAATGGAACAATTCGTGTTAGAGAATGGCCAATGGAAATTGGATATCACGACCTACTGCAGAGATCTTAAGTGATCAAGTCCACACAGTAGTGAGTATCACCTTCCCACCCGCCCAGCTACAGAGAGTCATATTTGCCACGTGGCAGTAAAACCGGTGTTTTTTTACTCTCAGAGCTGGAATTTAGCCAAATTAAGTGCAGAACCAAATGTAATGTGATGGGGTTTCTGTGCACTAATGAGTAACTGAGACCACAAACTCACTGCATTTGCGAATATGGTTAAATCACAGGATTGGAGAATAATGTGGATCAGGGAATAAATGAAAATTAGAAGCAACATATCTATTTTGAAGAAAATTAAGTGGGCTTGTGCAGGACACATTGCTAGAAGGGATGATAGCCATTGGACGAGACTGGGGTTGGATTTGCAGCCAAAGGAGGGAACACGCCCGAGATAACGGTCATCACGGAGGTGGGACGGTCGGATCAGCTCGCGTGCAGGAGCAAGTGGGATTGTTGCCTGTAAGGGATTGCGATGATGTGGGGAGGCCTTCATCTAGCAGTGGATAGATGAAAGTTTACAATGAATATGTCTATAATTAATTCATTATTTGAAACTTTTAAGCAGCATGTACTTTCATGACTGGATATGAACTTAAACCTGAAGACATAAACGTAGCTGATCAACTTCCCATCAGTTCGAAGATATATGCAGAATGGTTGAAACTACTCTTGCTTTCTGTTTCAGTGTAACTAATAATAATTTAGTGAATGTGATATGTGCACCATTATTATAGCGCAAGGCTAGACATAGCCTGACACATAGTATGCAGGAGTGTTACTTTAAGGGGGCGTTGTAGCGATGTGTAATCATAATTGAGAAATATTGAAGTTAAATGATTTAGAATGACATCAGGGGATTTTAACATTGGCTGTAAAGCATACTCTGCCTATTTTATAGTTAATACACCCGCAGTAATAACCAAGGCAGTCCAACAGATAAAAAAATGTACTTCTGCAACAAGCAGTGAACGCACTATCGCCAGGTCCCGTCACCGCCATAATTGTGCATCGTCGGTCTTTTCATCTGTGTGCCAGGCCAACAACAACGCGGCCGTATGCCTGCTCTACATGGGGAAGCTGAAGGAGTCGCTGCGACAGCTGGAGGAGCTCATTCAGAAGGAGCCTCAGCGCTACCTCCACGAGAGCGTGCTCTTCAACCTGTCCACCATGTACGAGCTCGAATCGTCACGCAGCACGGCCAAAAAGCAAGGCCTTCTCGCAACTGTGGCCCCACACAGCGGGGACAGCTTCGGTGTGCAGTGCCTCAAAATGCTGTGATGATTTTGTGGAAGTGTGCTTCTGCAGACATTTGTAGATCCACTGCTCGATGAGGGCCTCGCCACGTCGTGCGGGTCATGGGGGTTATTAGACCGCGCTTCACCGTGCCGGAGAGCGTGCGAGTTTGTACTCGTCGGGGAGCACCCATGGGAGCATAGAAGTACAGTGCAATGGATTTTCCTGTCCTTTATTCCACTACTCGCTACAGACCTGCAGTCTTATGACAGCTCCTTTGTGTGTGGTGGTCGCCCATCCCAGCCCTATCGAGACTCAAGCCTGCTTTGCTTCTGTGATGATGAGATCGGGCGCATCATGTGAAATGTGTATAGGAATTTTCACGGTCTGTTACGTTGGAAATTATATCACAAAAAACTGCACGCCACTGTAATTTATACCAATTCACTGCTAATGTAGGAATAAAATACTTAGACCTGTAGCAGTGTTATTTTGTTTCAGCCTGTGAACAAAGGACACTGCAACATTTTTTTCCTTCATGGCTTTTACACAAAGATATGAAGTTTGCTGTATTCCTAAATGTATAAAATAAATTAGCAGACCAAATGTCTCATTGGGGTATCTTTCCCTGGCATGCACAATGAAAGTAGTGCAACGACATACCCGTCTGGTATGGGTAACCCAATCAAGGACGAGAGCTGCTCCGGTCTACGAGGAACTCGAGCCTCTGGCGCCCTGGAAAGACGCTACTTCGTTGAAGACGAGAATTCACGTTTTGGATTCCTCCTAAAATACGAACATTATTTGGTAAGAGAAAAACAAACTCATTGAATGCCCCTTCATCAATTAATTGTTATTGGTCTTTATGGTTGTGGCCATCATAATTCCACCAAGGTCGATTAACTGAGTAGCCAGATTTGCGAAGTCAACAGTAATAGGGTTTTTTTCTGGCAACAAAACTGAAACCTTTTTACAAGGATTCATGTGTGCATTAACCACAATACTTGCAGTCAAAATGCAAAAAAAACATACTATGATAATATATGCATTGTCCTTGAAACTGATTGGTCCACACCAAGGGACGGCTTTCTTTTGAGCCTCATCTCAATTGGTGCTCGACCAGAGGACGCTCAAAGACAATGCATTATCAAAGTAATGAGGGCTCGGGGTGAGCATCTACATCATTAGACCTCCTTTGCCAGTACTTTGATAGTGCATTGTCTTTGAGCTGTACGCCTTTTGGCGTCCTCTGGTCGAGCACCAATTGGTCGAGGCTCAAAAGAAAGCCGTCCCTTGGTGTGGACCAAGCAGTTTCAAGGACTGCATGTATTATCAGAGTGTGTTTTTTGTTTCCATTTTGACTGCAAGTATTGTGGTTAATGCAAACATGAATCCTTGTAAAAAGGTTTCAGTTTTGTTGCCAGAAAAAAGGGAAAAAACCCTATTATTATATTTTGGTACTGGCAAAGGAGGTCTAATGATGAAGTCAGCAGTAGTTGCGATATGGATGTCAGGAGCCCCTGCCTGCCACGGGAATGTGGAATTCCCACTTGGCTCGGGGCTGCCAAAGGACATGGGATGGACCCAGGCGTGGGATGTCGATCCTTCCTCGCTTAAACCACGCCTCCTCACCTAGGTCACGCCCCCCTCACTTAGGTCACGCCCCCCTCACCTAGGTCACGCCCCCCTCACTTAGGTCACGCCCCCCTCACCTAGGTCACGCCCCCCTCACTTAGGTCACGCCCCCTCACTTAGGTCACGCCCCCCTCACTTAGGTCACGCCCCCCTCACTTAGGTCACGCCCCCCTCACTTAGGTCACGCCCCCCTCACCTAGGTCACGCCCCCCTCACTTAGGTCACGCCCCCTCACTTAGGTCACGCCCCCTCACTTAGGTCACGCCCCCCTCACCTAGGTCACGCCCCCCTCACTTAGGTCACGCCCCCCTCACCTAGGTCACGCCCCCCTCACTTAGGTCACGCCCCCCTCACTTAGGTCACGCCCCCCTCACCTAGGTCACGCCCCCCTCACTTAGGTCACGCCCCCCTCACCTAGGTCACGCCCCCCTCACTTAGGTCACGCCCCCTCACTTAGGTCACGCCCCCCTCACTTAGGTCACGCCCCCTCACTTAGGTCACGCCCCCCTCACCTAGGTCACGCCCCCCTCACTTAGGTCACGCCCCCCTCACCTAGGTCACGCCCCCCTCACCTAGGTCACGCCCCCTCACTTAGGTCACGCCTCCTCACTTAGGTCACGCCCCCTCACTTAGGTCACGCCCCCTCACTTAGGTCACGCCCCCCTCACTTAGGTCACGCCCCCTCACTTAGGTCACGCCCCCTCACTTAGGTCACGCCCCTCACTTAGGTCACGCCCCTCACTTAGGTCACGCCCCCCTCACTTAGGTCACGCCCCCTCACTTAGGTCACGCCCCTCACTTAGGTCACGCCCCCTCACTTAGGTCACGCCTCCTCACTTAGGTCACGCCCCCTCACTTAGGTCACGCCCCCTCACTTAGGTCACGCCCCCTCACTTAGGTCACGCCCCCTCACTTAGGTCACGCCCCCTCACTTAGGTCACGCCCCCTCACTTAGGTCACGCCCCTCACTTAGGTCACCCCCCTCACTTAGGTCACGCCTCCTCACTTAGGTCACGCCCCTCACTTAGGTCACGCCCTCACTTAGGTCACGCCCCTCACTTAGGTCCCCCCCTCACTTAGGTCACGCCCCTCACTTAGGTCACGCCCCTCACTTAGGTCACGCCCCTCACTTAGGTCACGCCCCTCACTTAGGCACGCCCCTCACTTAGGTCACGCCCCTCACTTAGGTCACGCCTCACTTAGGTCACGCCCATCACTTATGTCACGCCCCTCACTTAGGTCACGCCCCCCTCACTTAGGTCACGCCCTCACTTAGGTCACGCCCCTCACTTAGGTCACGCCCCTCACTTAGGTCACGCCCCCTCACTTAGGTCACGCCCCCTCACTTAGGTCACGCCCCCTCACTTAGGTCACGCCCCCTCACTTAGGTCACGCCCCCTCACTTAGGTCACGCCCCCTCACTTAGGTCACCGCCCCTCACTTAGGTCACCCCCCTCACTTAGGTCACGCCCCCTCACTTAGGTCACGCCCCTCACTTAGGTCACGCCCCCTCACTTAGGTCACGCCTCCTCACTTAGGTCACGCCCCTCACTTAGGTCACGCCTCCTCACTTAGGTCACGCCCCTCACTTAGGTCACGCCCCTCACTTAGGTCACCCCCCTCACTTAGGTCACGCCCCCTCACTTAGGTCACGCCCCTCACTTAGGTCACGCCCCCTCACTTAGGTCACGCCTCCTCACTTAGGTCACGCCCCCTCACTTAGGTCACGCCCCCTCACTTAGGTCACGCCCCCTCACTTAGGTCACGCCCCCTCACTTAGGTCACGCCCCCTCACTTAGGTCACGCCCCCTCACTTAGGTCACGCCCCTCACTTAGGTCACCCCCCTCACTTAGGTCACGCCTCCTCACTTAGGCCGCACCCCTCGCTGAGGCCACTTGCCCTGGCTGCTGCTGCTGCTGCCGCGCTCCCCGGTGCAGAGTGGCGGGGTCCACGGTGGTAGCAGCGCTGAGGCCGCTGCCGCTGCGTCTCCTCTCGACTGAAAGGCGGACACTGAGTGACTGCGCCGCTTCGCCCTACTTCACCGCTGGTTGCTGAAGGCGGGGAGCAAACAACTGCGGCACAGCCTTGCGGTACAGCCGTGGACTGCGCTCCACCCTCGGCTTTTGGTAACGCTCCGTGCCATCGGCAACAACGTGGCCTCGAAGCAAAACGCATGTCATGGACGACGTTTCGGACAACGGCCCTTCTTCGCAGCACATGAATAGAGATGCCAGAGCGATTGGATAATGCGAGCTGGAGACTGCACTTTACACCATGGGGGCTTAATGAGAATTACTTTTGTTTTAATTTCTACAAAAAAGCGCCATTATTAATAGGTGCTCGCTAACAGCCCTGGCCTCAACAGTCTCAGGTCCCCTGGGGGAATCCACGTTTCTCACGTGAGGGCATCGGTGTGCACCTAGCCTGGCACAAGCGTCGTGGAGGTTCGTGCACGTGCAGCCCTGCTGGACGAGGGCCTCCTCGCAGCCCTTGAGAGTCGTGGGGGGTTATTTGACCATACTTCACCACGCTGGTCAAGTGAAAGCTTTCAAGTTGAGGTTTTGTTCAACGGGGTGAGAGCTCAATATGAGGTAAACAAAGCAGCTGCGACCAGGCCTGGCCAGTGCGGGTTAGTGACGGCAAGTGGGGGGGGGGGGGGGGGGCAATGTGTTGTTCAGGTCAGCTGCTGGCCACGGCGAGAGCGCTTCAGCAGGCCGAGTTCGCGCACAGCGACTGTGGCTCGCCATTCTGTTTGCATCGTCACAATCACTCCTTTGGCTTGTTCACTTTACATTCATGAAGGAGACGTGCACCTCGACATATTCATGCTCCGAGGCAGTCGATGCTTGCCACCAGTGTCTTCAAGGAGGAATGTTAATGCCAGGCGGTGGGATGTGTGAGCAAACAAGTACAGTACAACAATTGATGCTGCTTTGCCCTGTGCTCCCCACCACGTCACCCCCCAGCTGCCTGTGACGACAGCTGGGGTGCGGTGGCCGCCCTTCGCCGCTGTGCAGGACTGCCTCGCTCCCCCACTCCGAGGTGAGTACTCTGAGCCAGCGGCGTCACTTGGGGGTGCGGACCGCACTGGGTGACACCATCAGAGGGGGTGACACCATCAGAGGGGGTGACACCGAAATGGCTGTAACAAGTTTTGTGCGGTCTTTAAGCACAATTTCTTTTTAATTAGAATATCACTGTAGTTAATTATAACAACAAAAACGCTTTTAGTAATCCCAGCTTACATGTAAAATATACCTACAAGGCTAAAACTCGATGTTAATTTCTTTTTGAACCGTCTAATGCGCTCCGGTCAGAGCTGTCATCATTACCCAATTACGATGGCGCTTCGAGTCACGTGGTTTCGTCTGCACGCGCCACCAGCACGCGCTGTTGTGTTCGTCGCTGCTCGTGTTTTTATAGTCGTCGACTTTGTCAAATTTTCTGGTGTTTTAGCTGCAATATGGTGGTCATGAGTATTTGTGAACCAGTGACGTGCGGTGAGGTCAATGGCTGGGGAAGCATTGGCTAGTGTCAGAGCCAGATTCACACACTGAGGGGGCGTGTCCTCACGGAGGGGGGCGTGTTAGACACGCCCCCCTCAGTGAGGCAGATGTGATAGCTGCCTCCCCTGGTGCTTTTTCATTGCATTCTAGATTTGAAGCTTTCGTGACTGCAAGGATTCATACTCTTAGGTTTTTTCGGTAAAGTCACGTAGGTAAAAATATATATTAAAAATAAAAATCATAAAAAATAATAATAGAAATAAAATAATAAATCACGACGTTTCGGAGGCCAACACAAGTCTCCGTCATCAGGTGGGACCGTTACAGCTCAATTTACTGTATCAAGTGATACAGTAAATTTAGTTTGATACAGTAAAGTTTTATACAGTAAATTTAGCTGTGACGGTCCCACCTGATGACGGAGACTTGTGTTGCCTCTGAAGCGTCGTGATTTATTATTTTATTTCTATTTTTCTTTTCTTTTTCTACGTGACTTTTTCATTGCAGTTTCATGACGAGACCAGCGAGCCTAAATATCTTTATACACATATGTGAAATAAGTTACCTGGAGTATGGAAGGTGAGGACATGAAATGAAGGGGTATACTTGATACAGCTGTCGTGGCTGTGACGCTTCCACCTGAAGACGGAGGCTTGTGTTGCTTCCGAAACGTCGTGAATTTTTTAATTTGTTTTATTTTACTTTTATTAATTTAACATTTTTACCTATGTGACTTTACCGAAAAAACCTAAGAGTAGGGTCTACAAACATTACATTGGTGACATACTGAGATAGTGACAGGCACGCACTTATTGCCCGCGCTCCATCCAATTACTGAGGGGTTGCGCAATTAGAGGGGAGGCTGAGCTCGTCGCTGCCTCACCGTTCATGTCTTCCTGTATTTGCAGCGGAGCTCCGCAAATTTGGCGATTTTGACTATAAAAATGATTGGAATCGTACAGAAATGACATTAAAACACAAATCAGTGGAAAAATCTTAATATTGATTTGATTCTTTTTTTTTCCTTTTCGTGACAGTTATTTTCGTTGGAGTATGACAGGTGAAGCTCTGCCTCCCCTGCCTCCCATGACGGCACGTCCCTGTTGTGAACCTATATCAATAACTTTTTTGAGAATTATATAGTAATTAAAGGAAATATTTTAATTTTAAGGTATAATTAAAAATGTTCTAGTTGTTTATGTCACTACTATTGCCATTACATTCAGTGATATACGGGAATTACAATTTACGAGTAACTGTACAAAAAACATTACTAAAGATTCTGTATGATCTCGTACGGGTGGCGGTCCATGAGGGGTGACACCACGAGTTACCGCACTCGGTGACACCAACCCTAGTGACGCCACTGCCCTTAGCCACACGTTTCGGGCACTAGAGGGAATTATATTTGACCTGTCAGTAATCGCACTGCATTTCCAATTTTTGCGTGCGAGGTGTGGGTTTGTATCGTCCTACCAAAGTTCTGTGGAAGTCCTAATCGACCCTCAGGTCAAAGCTATCCTGCCCCACAGCATCTGACAAGGTCCAAGATAAATAAGCAGACTAATCCTACTCCCCATATCTGTCCCTCCGCGTAAAAAAATAAATGTTGAACCAATGTTAATTAATTATGCATTCATAAAGACACGTGGCTGATGGGATGTATAACAAGACACTAAGTTTATATAGATAAGGGAAGGTAGCTTATTGTGTGCTTTAGAAATTTACGAGGGTCAATATACATTCATGGTTTAAAAAAATTGTCTTTACCATTGAAGGTGATCTCATCACTTCGAAATCTATCTCTGCTGTACCCCAGTTCCACGAAAGGTGAAAAGATGATGCACAGCCCTTATTTTGGGTCTGCGAAGAGACATGAGACTCGCTCTGCCACGGGAGTTTCAGCAAAAGTTCAAGCCTCGAGTGGGAGTGTGCTTCACAGTCCACGTCCTCAAGACTCCCCAGTGGATGGGAAGGCTGGAAAGCATCGCCCATCTCATGGTGACAACTCCTCACTGCATATTTTTTGCTCCTCATCCTCCTCTCTGCTTACAGTTATGGCCATGATGCTTATAACCAAGTCATCCGAAAGCTCATTATATCTCGGAAGCTAAGCTGCCAAGAGCCTGCAAAGCACTTGGGTGGGTTAATACCATGCACGTCCGGCTATTATCGACTACTGCGCTGCATGGTCATCATTAGGGATGTTCACATACAGCACTGTTTCTTTAGTACACACCATGAGGGCTATTTGACCATACTTCACCATGCTGGTCAGTGCGGGTTGGAAGCATAGAAGTGCATTAGAGCAATTGCACTGCCCACAACGTAGCCCCGCAAATTACAATGCTTGCTATGCATGGAGATTACCTATCCACGCACTATCCAGTCTCATGTAGAGATGCATGCTTGGAATTGCATTGTGACAACATACACAGGCTCATGACATCATTGACATTTTTGCAAAAAACAAGTAAGCTTGGGCAGGACATAATTTTAGAATGTGATTGGTCAATGATCATGAATAATAACATTGGCAGCCAAGGAATGGAATCTTTTTGGGAAAATGCCCACAAACAAGGTGAAGCAATGAAATTCAGCTCTTGTACATGTGCTAAGTGGATTATTATATCGCAGGATCATGGGAGTTGGTAGCAACTTGGGGAAGCCTCCATCCAGCAATAGCTAATGACGATGTGTACATTCAAATTTAAAGCACAATTTGTATAATTTTTCTTGTGCAGGATGCGTTGCCGGTGGTGACATGGACAGTCAGCCCTTGGCAGGCATGACGTGGGAGCGAAACAAAGTGAGATTGGATCCAGAGTTACTCTTATTGGCAGAGTCTGGGTCAGCGATTCACATCCGAGGAGATGGGCTGGCTTGTGACTACACCCGGGCCTTCAGAAGAGCTGAGGCCGACAGGCTCTTGGAGGAGTGTGAAAAGCAGATTGAGTACATGGCAGGTACTGCTGTGGGTTTCTGAATAGGTTAATGCGTGTCTGTGGACTACAGACCTTATGTGATAGCTGAAACACTGAAAATATATTTCCTGCCATAATAATGTGAACATTTCCACTATAATATAGGTTTTCTGGGTTAGGTCACGTAAATATAAATATGTCGTTAAACCCGCCACCACCCGACACAGCCAATTAGTAAGATTTGTCACATAAACAGAACATGCCAATTCGTTACTAGTACAGTAGTAATTACAACCAGCATAATCAGGCGGACAGCCAGATTTATCCGCCTGATGATGTTAGTTGTAATTACTGGCGAAACGTTGTACTCAGATTGTAAATGTTGTGGATTTGCTCTCCAACACACTGGTGTGCTGTACTAATAACGAATTGGCATGTTCTGTTTACTTGATTAAACCTCATTAATTGGCATGTCGGGTGGTGGTGGGTTTAACGACACATTTATATTTACGTGATCTAACCCAAAATAAACTATATTATGGATGATATTGGTCGCGAAAACCAAACATTTCCACTGTTGGCTCGAGAACACAAATTCAGATGAGCACAGCCCCATGATTGTTTATGGACAGGGAGCCTCTGATTTTATTCCCAGCAGCACAGAAAGCACTCGATTAAATATGAATGAATCAGCCACTGGTGCAGCTCCATAAGCACAGCAGATTATTTTCTTATGAATGCTTTTCAACTGAGGTAAAAAACGTTTATACATTCGATCTTTCCGTCCGTTTATCCATTCATAACGGAATGCACTGTCACTCCTGAAGATGAACCACTATACACGATCCTGTAATATGCACGGGTCCGTGTGTGTAGATGAAAACAGCATCCATGTGTGCATGGATGTGTCAATGAGACGTGTGTGTGTGTGTGTAGACGAGGACGCGCGGGTGCGTGTATTTGGAGCGTGGCACTCCCTCCCGCGTCAGCAATCCGCTTACGGGGACCCCGGAGTCACGTACCGCTACTCTGGGTCAACGCTTCTAGCCCGGCCCTGGTGCCCAGTGCTGGAGGAGATCCGAGAGCACATTGAGAGCCTCACTGAGCAACCCTACAACTTTGTTCTTGTCAACAGGTTTGCCGCAGTGTTAATATTTTTATTTTAATGTAATTGATGACAGCCTGTGGAGTAAGGTCGATTCTTAGGCTGTGTATTTGTCGGTATGGCATTGCGTCATATGACGTCCCATTTCCACCACTGCCGATAGCTCCATCGGTATAAAACTGGAATATGCATTTTTGATGCTGTTTTAATGTATTGTAAAGTATTCATATGAGCGGCGCTGATGCTGTCAGGTACCGTGATGGAAGAGACCACATGGGGGAACACCGCGACGATGAAAAGGACCTCGTCCGTGGCTCGGCCATTGCGTCCGTGTCGCTGGGCGCATGCAGGGACTTCTGCTTCCGACGTCGGCCGCGCGGAGGCAGGCGATCGGTGAACGCCAAACCACGGGAGAGCCGCGGCTGTTGTCGTGATGCGAGCAGAGGCAGTGAAAGCAGCACGGAGGATTTGTCATCATCTGGCACTTGGAGCAGTCGCACTGTTCACAATGGTGGCAGTGATGATCAGGATACTGAGCAAATGTGTGAAACGAGCAGTATGATCCATTCAAAGTTGCCCAAACTTGACAACCGGAGTGGCGCCTTTGAGAATGACTCTGTAACAAGCAAAATGCTTTCAACGTGTCAGTCATCTGCCAGCAAGTTGAAATGCACAAGTAAAAGATGTGCAAACGACATCGCCATCACCGTGTCAGGAGACAGGCTGGTGATGCCGCTGGAGCATGGCAGTGTCCTGGTAATGAAATGGCCGACAAACGAGGTGTGGTGTCATGCACTCCCTCCACGACGCAGAGATAAAAGCATACGCGTTAACCTCACATTCCGCCTCATCCACACAGGAGTGTGAAGACACATTACCAGGACACTGCTGTGTTTCCGTGGTATCGCTTTCACCGATATGTCAACAAAAATAATCACAATTATTAACCAAATAAAAATAATATAATATGCTTTTTACTTTTGGTTCTTTTGGTAAAGTTACGTAGAAAGAAAATAAATTAAATAATAGAATACGATGTTTCGATTGCAATACACGCAATCGTCATCAGGTACGAATGAATGAGAAAAACAAACCTAGTCAACTTAGAAATATAATGCAATACAACACAGACAGTCGGCTAACATAACAGTCAACACCCTACCTGGTTGATTATATTCTTCCAAAGATTGCTACATTTGAGAGAGAGACAACACAGACACGAAGACACATAGACAGACATAAGCAGAGAGACAACACAGACACAGGGAGACACATACGCACAAAGAAACAACGCCTCTGTATCGAGGCCTTAGAGAGAGAGGGGGGCGGAGAGAGAGGGGGGTGGTAGAGAAATTAGCTTGTCAATGAGAGATTTGGATCTTTCGTGACTGCAAGAATTACTAGAGAGACAACACAGATAGAGAAAACAAACTTAATAAAACAAAATAAATACCTGGAGCCCTCACAACATTGGCTCCCGCTTCCCCCGGCGTGACCATACACCATCAGTTCCCCACACTGACTGTCCAATACTGTCTGAATATATATCTGGATGGCTTCCCCGAGCGTGGCCCCACCCTGCCTCTTGCATGTCACTTCCTCTGACTCTCCCGATGGCACCCGAGCCAGCGTGACAGGCCCCTCGAGTCCCCATCGGCAGGTAAGTGCAGGTAAGGGAGTGCGTCTCACAACAGTCATACCCCAGGGACGCCATTTACGTCCCTACATAGGTAAAGGGGGGAGGGGCAAGGGGGGAGAGGGGGGGGTAGGGAGAGAGGAGCGATGCGTGGATGCTAGGAGAGGGACGTGAGGCTGGGGGGGGGTGCTGGAAGTAGGAGGCCGAGAGGGCTGGGGATGCCGGGAGGAAGTTAATGTGGAAAAATAGACTAGTACTCGGCAGATATGAAAGACAACCATAAAGCAGTTAGGATTTTACCTGGTTAATAACATCCTTTCAATGATTGCTCAATTTGTATCCATCTCGGTTGAAGTTATATCTGGATGGCTTCATGAACAAACCTTTGATAGTAGCCCGAAGGTTTGCAGAGTACCTTGGTCTCGGAAAAAAAACTATATGCCAGCCCACAGCGTTATAACAATGGTCAGCTACGGCAGAGGTATTGGTTCTGCCGGGTTTCAGATCTGCCTTGTGTTCGCGGACATGGTCCGTGACATGTTTCATTTCCCCGATGTAACGGCTGCCACAGGTACAACTCGGTTTGTAAACTCCAGGATATTGCATGTCAGGAATGACATCCTTCACATATGGGATTAGATCACGGATTTTGTGTACTGTATTGAATCGGACCTGGATCTTGTGTTTAAGATTTTGGAAATCTTTTTGGTAACACCTATGTATGGTAACATGATGGTTTTGATTGGATTCTCAGGGGTTTCTCCATGGTTGGAGAAACAGCTTTGCGAATAATGCGGTCCGAGTACCCATTCATCTTGAGGGCCTGGTGTAGGTGTTCCAGTTCACTGGCTAGGTGGTGTTGGTCGTAAATGCAGTGGGCCCTATGGTTTAGTGTCTTGATAAGGGAATTCTGTGCCGGATGGTGGTGGGAATCAGGTTTCAGATAGGAATCTGTGTGGGTGGATTTCCTGTAGACAGTGTCCCAACGAGCCGACAGGTCTCTTCTCGAAACAAACCATCCAGGAAAGGTAGCTTCCCATCCTCCACTTCCATGGTGCATTTGATGGATGGGTGTGTGTTGTGTTGTTAATGACAACGCGGAGGCAAATCTTCATGTAAGGGCTTGCGCCAGTTTATTTATAAGAGTTGAGATAATTTTCACCAGGGGTAGGTGCCCTACACTAGGTCCTTCTCCAGACTCCCCCTTCTCCAGACTCCCTTCAACCGCTCCCACAGCGACCCCGTTTTTGTCACGGGGTCCCCCTTAAGTACCATGAGGAGACATGACGTCATCGCACCGCCCAGCATGCATGATGTCACGTCCCCATACTACTCTACAGGTGTATGGAATTGATGTGGTTGAGAAATTGGTTCAAAGCTGGCAGGCCATGTGGCCAAATGACGAACGTGTCATCTACATATCTCTTCCACAAGGAAGGACGTAGGGTGGATGTCTGTATGGCATCTTTTTCAAATTTCTCCATGAAAACATTCGCTATCACTAGTGATAAGGGGGAACCCATGGGGGTACCTTCATAGTGGTGCCCTGCTTGTTGGGCACCGACTTCCTTCGTAGGATGCCCGTTAAGATCCTTGTGGATCAGGGCTGTTTGGAACTGCCGGAGGGCCGGAAAATGTTTTTTTTGCCGTCACCACTGGGTCGCCTGTTACCGTGCCTTGCCGTGCAGGCTATAATGGACGTCACGGTGGAGGTCCCACCTGGCGCACAAATGCTCATACCCTTATGTTACCGGAAACCGTTGGGGGAAGTTGACGCGTCGGTCGGAATTCTGCTGGCCCACGTCTAACTCCGCGCAGACAATCGTCCGCGCCGGCCAGGCCCCGTTCTTACAAGTACTGAATGGGGGCCCGGTTGGCATGCTGGTGCCGGCCGGTGCAGTCTTGGCTCACGCCACCACCGCATTTATGGACTGCGAGGAGAGTGGTCCACACGTTTTGGCCGTGGGGGCACGCCATGATGCTAATTTCGACGATCGGTGGATCGCCGAGCTGTGCAGGGAAAATTCGTCGTTATCCGGCCGGCAACGTGACGCTCTGCGAGTGCTGCTGTCGGATTACACTGATGTCTTTAGCAAGAGTGACCTTGACTTGGGTCGTATATCACTCTTATCCCATCACATAGATACCGGGGTAGCGAGCCCGATACGGATGAATCCACACCGCATGAGTCCCGCTGAGAGGGACCATGTGCGGCGGGCGGTGGACGAAATGCTCGCTGCCGACATAATTTCGTCATCAAATAGCCCTTGGGGTGCCCCGGTTGTGCTTGTTAAGAAGAAAGATGGCGGCCTCCGGTTTTGTGTGGATTTTCGTAGATTGAATAAGGTATCCGTGGCAGATGCGTACCCTCTGCCACGGATGGACGATTCCCCGGATGCCCTGTCGGGAGCGAAAACATTTTCCACCCTCGATGTCTCGGCGGGATTTTGTCAGCTGCCCCTCAATGAGGTGTCGAAACCTAAGACGGTATTTCGTACGCCACGGGGCCTATTTGAATTTAACTGCCTTCCCATGGGGCTGAACGCTGCCCCCGCCACGTTCCAGCGGCTGATGGAGCTGGTGTTGGCGGGACTGCAATGGGACACGTGTCTCATATATTTGGATGATGTCATTGTGTTTATTCGCACGTTCGAAGAACACCTCCAACGCTTGAGGGTTGTTTTTGACAATGCAGGCTGCTAATCTTAAATTCAAACCTAGGAAGTGTCATCTTCTGCAACAATCTGTGCATTATCTGGGTCACATTGTGAGCTCCGACGGCATCGCCACAGATCCGGACAAAACCTCTTGTGTCCGTGATTGGCCGACCCCCACCTCCGTGGGAGAGGTGCGTCAATTTGTCAGGTTCGCATCCTACTACCGTCGCTTTGTTCCGCATTTTGCTACCATCACCAGGCCCATGCACGTATTAACGGGTAAAAATCAGAAGTTCAGATGGTGACCCGAGGAAGAGTTGGCTTTTTGAACCCTCCGGGATCGGTTGGCGTCAGCGCCGACGCTTGATTATCCCGACTTTTCATTGCCCTTTATCCTGGACACGGATGCCAGTGATACGGGCATCGGCGCCGTGCTGTCCCAACGTAAAACCGGCGTGGAAATGGTCGTGGCGTATGGTAGCAGGGTTCTCTTCCCGGCAGAGACTCGTTACTGTGTTATGTGCAGGGAGCTTCTAGGGATCTTGTACGCACTGACCACGCCGCTTTGCAATACTCGTTAAAGATTGAACAACCATCCGGCCAGCTTTCCCGTTGGCTTGAAACGTGGCAGGAGTTATCTTTTGAGATACATTACCTTAAGGGTACTCGCCACGGTAATGCGGATGCGCTCTCCAGCTTGCCCGGGGGTTCCCCTTGTGCGTGCGCGTCTAGCACTAACCGGTGCACAGTTCTTCCTTGGGCCCCTCGGCTGGTCATGTCCGTGGGGGTGGACTCCGCTGAACACTCCGCGGAACGCGCGGAGCCATGGCCAGCCGACGGTGTGTTGAACCTGCCAGGGTCGGTGTGGATATGCGAGCAGCTATTGGACGACTCATTGGTTTCGCCCGTAACGAGCGATACGCTCGTCGATCGTGACGTGAGATGCCATGGGTTGTAGGCGACCGGGCCTGGATCCACTGCCCCCAGTTACCGGTGAGTACCTCTCCCAAATTATACAGGCCATGGCAGGGGCCTGTTGAGTTGAACGAGGTACGGAGCCCTCAATGTGTGCGTATTCAGTCGGGTTCACGCCGCTGGTACGTCCACACTTCGCGGTTGAAACCCTTCCTCGCCCCGCGTATTGCTCCCTCATCCCGCTTAACTATCCTGCTGGGGTCTGATGCGTCCAATGGGCCAACTCGGTTGCCGGTTGATCCCCAGAAGGGTCTGGTTTGCCTTCCACAGACCCACAGACCCGGAACGCTCCAGCTGCTGCGGATGACCCTGCTCTGGCTGGATCTTCTTCCGCCAAGTCGGACGCTCCACGCCCCATCCTTCCGTCTCCTGTGACATCGGGACCGGCGCCGCATCGCCCAGCAGCGAGGGATGGACCTGCGTCAAATACACGCTCGAAATCTGTTCCCTTTCGCTAATAACTGTTATACCTTCTTGCATAATGTGTTCGTATGCATCTTATCAGTACAATTGTTTTGTGTTGAATGTGTTCTTACTGGCCTTGCATTGTGCGCTTGTTAGGCACCTTTCTATTGTTCTTGTTGTTGCATTGTCTTCATGCTCTATGGCTCTAGTATTATTGTTGCTTTGTTCTAGCCGAGACGGCTAGCCCTTTTACAAGGGGGGGGGGGGTGATGTAATACGAGAGTTCACCGACGATCGCCGATCAGTTCTATCTACGTGACTTTACCGAAAGAACCAAAGAGTATTTAGTGCATAGATCATCGCTGATGAAAATAAAATAAACTTAATGTATGAGTAATGCATGTTTTGGTCTGTATATTAAATATCTGGAAAAGCCGACACGGACATACCAAAGCCTTGGTCAAACCTCAACAGGGGATCAGGGCCTAACCTCGAATGCAGTCATACTGGTCGAAGATCACGACGGAGGTGAATTTTCAGCCAAAAGCATTTTAGATTCAGTCATCATTGCACACTGTCAGCAGTCAGGGAAATGTACTTCTGTTAGTGTGACCAAAAGGGGGTGCTAGTGACCTGAGCCATGTGCAGGGCAGAATGCTAGACTGATCACTATATAATCAAAGCCAATCTCCGCATTGAGATCCGTCCACGCCATCCAAGGAAGGCCCCAAATAAGAGACTCGACTGTAATTCCCTCAACAACCCTGCTGTCGCCAACAACTTTCGGTGTCTCCTCCCCACCAAATTCCTCCCAACCCCCCCGGACTCCACCCCCAACACCACATGGACTGAGCTGCGCACAGCCGTCGTCGAGGCAGCCTCAGAATCAGTTGAGAACACCAAAAAGCGTCGCTAAGACTGGTTTGACGAGAATGCTGCCGACATCCACACACTCTTACAGAATAAACGCCAAACCCACAAAGCCGTTCTGTCCAACCCAGACTCCCCCACTCTCCAAACCACCCTCTGCTGTGCCAAAGCAGTCCCAGCATGCTCCCCGTGCCATGGAG